AACCCTCTGATATTTTCTTTACAAATGACTGGCTTCTTACTGCATTCTGAAGTCTGCACTCTGACAAATTGTTGGAAAAATGCACTGTGAATCAATCATAGTTGATAATTAATGCGCAGAAAAGGTCATGTGATCAAAATGACTCAGAGATACCACTTTGGCACCTAGTATAACTTTAGAATTATTTGTCTTAAAGCTATACAATGAACTTTAAGTATCATAAATAATGTTTCACCAGTGAAGTTATTATGAGCCTCAAAATGATGATCGCATGTTTTGAAACAAAAGCTCTAGTGTGTCATATGACAATATTTGTAATTAATTTTTTTGATTTCTCAAAAGATACATTTGAGCTGCGTCACGACAAAACCAACATAGTGCGTTTGCGACCAGCATGGATCCAGACCGTTCCTGCGCATCTGCGCAGTCTGATCAGGATCCATGATGTTCGCTATCAGTTTTTTACCTTGTAAAAGGGTTGGTAAGCAAACAGCATGGATCCTGATTAGACTGCACAGATGCGCAGACTGGTCTGGATCCATGCTGGTCGCAAACGCACTATGTTGGTTTTGTCGAGACGCGGCTCATTTCTTATTTAGAAAAACCCACAAATTTTACGCAAGCTACTTTTCAGTCATTTAAAGATGTTCACATGTACTTTGCTTTGTGATTAAAGTCTTAGCTTAATAGTCTGCAGACTTTGCTTAGAGATAAATTATTTTCGTAGCTAAGGACTACAGAAGAGAAAATATTAGCACCAATGTATAGAAATTCAGAGACATACAGGTGTCAGATTTATTGCCTGGACTTGACATTACTATGACTATCCATCTTTTAACATTTATTTCTCATTTTTGGCTCAATTAAATAAATTTCCTGGTGAAAACTATTTTACAATCATAGCCAAACCGGCACTGCAATGCAGAATGCATTCATGATCTACAAAATAATGAGGGAGCTCTCCGGAAATATTGCGATTATTTTATAGAAAAGAATTAAAAGGCGACAGTTTTATACAGTTTTATACGGAACAGCATTTCCTTCTGCTGATTGCTTCTTTTGTGAACGTGAAGGATACGGTTGCTTTTTAATCTATTATAGGAAAATCAATGTTCCGTGAGATCGGCAAGATACCACATTGTTAATGCTTTTCTAGATAAATAGATGGACAAGTAAATAATTCATAGAGAAGTTTTTAGGCATAGCAATTTCGGAGTACTAGATTTGGTATTTCCCCGTTAGTTTATGTGTTTTTGTTTAGTGGAGCAAGAGCTCGGCTATTGTAGTTGATTGTTACTTGTTTTAGAAGTATAAATGTGGTGTGCAAACATTATGTCAGAATGATCGGCACTCTACTATTTCTAGTAATAAAAATTCTATCTATATAGTTAAGATATATTTCAGTTTCCTTATGTAGAGATTGAATGAGATAAGTGGGAAACAATTCCCCTCCCCCTCTCCCTTACAATTATCAACCTGCTTAACAGCCTTAATGCTAGTATCCAAATGTTTAAGCTCCTGACCTCTTACCTGCGGGAATCAAAAAAGATGGTATATTTGAGTGTGTACTTGACCTTTTGAAAGATCTGGTTGATTATGAAAGACTCTTACTACCAGTACTCTAAGCCAGGTCTGTAATGGCAGGCACCAGTATAGAGCCAGGTCAGTATAATAAGTCTGTAATGGCAGGCACCAGTATAGAGCCAGGTTTGTAATGGCATGCACCAGTATAGAGCCAGGTCTGTTTAGGCAGACACCAATTTATAGAACCAGGTCTGTAATGGTAGGCACCATTATAGAGTCAATATGATAAGTCTGTAATGGCAGCCACCATTATAGTCAAATCTGTAATGGCAGGCACCATTATAAAGCCAGGTCTGTAATGGCTGGCACCATTTTAAAGCCAGGTCTGTAATGGCTGGCACCATTATAAAGCCAGGTCTGTAATGGAAGGCACCATTATAAAGCCAGGTCTGTAATGGCAGGCACCATTATAAAGCCAGGTCTGTAATGGCAGGCACCATTATAAAGCCAGGTCTGTAATGGCTGGCACCATTTTAAAGCCAGGTCTGTAATGGCAGGCACCATTATAAAGCCAGGTCTGTAATGGCAGGCACCATTATAAAGCCAGGTCTGTAATGGCAGGCATGCCAGGTCTGTAATGGCAGGCACAAGTAGTACCAGAGCCAAGTATAAAATGGCAGCACAATTTTTCAGTCTGACCATAATCTACTTTGTTGACTGCGTAAATTTAATTTTCTGAAAGGGGTGTGTGCCAGGGAAGCAAAGTGTTAAGTGACAGTTGTTTTAGGTGACTTTTTTAACTGGGGGGGGAAATTAAAATTAAGTATTGATATGATATGAACAGTTGTCTTTTTATATAATGTGTGTTTGAATTATGATGTCATATTCTAATTAAGAATTTAAGGACTACGCAATATTACACCATATCAAACAGTCATCTGCGTAGGCTTGAAACTAGCTTGGAAAATAATTGGAAATACAATGAATCAGTTGAAAACAGCTCAGTAAGTTTTTAAAAACTCTAAAGTTGAAAACCCAAAATGTTATTTTAAGTATTTAAGAAGATTGTTCATGTGAACCACTTGAATTGAATAGTGTCCATTTCCTTCATAAACCCTTATTTAGATCATTTTATTAGTTAGTTATTCCGGAGTTCGATAAAGAGAGTGTTAATGTGTTTTTGGTAATAGATGCAAGGACATTGTTGGTAATCATGTCGAAAAAGATGCCGCCAAAATGGCTAATTAATAAAACGCAAACAACATGTGGTCGGACAGTAATTATTATTGTGGCTCGATTTAAGTGAGTGTTTTTTCGTTCTTTGACATTTTTTTTTTATATTGATAGGCAGTGATACTATATTGACTGATTAATTTGTTTTATTAAGTGTTTCTTCTTCAAGGTATCTTTTTAATTATGATCTCAAAAAAATTTAACACCTTTTCTTGAAGTTTTGCTAATTTTGATGCCAATATTACAAAGTCATGATAGCGTTAATAAAAGTCATCCTTTTGAATTTACACATATTTCAGCTTCACTGTGTATATCTTTTACAGAGCAAATATTTTTAATTCTTTAAATAAACTTCTGTAATGCTTGGCTTGGAGAGAAAGAAAATGTTGTCAGCTCGCCAGTTTCTAAATATAGAAATAAGACATTGGAAGCGGCAAACCTTAAATAGCAGATTTTATTTTTATTGAGATATTGAAAGCATAATTATGAAGATCACATATCTATGTTCAAAATACCATGCATGTACATTCCCCATATATCTAATCTTTAACCTTGTACCTGCTGAATTTCTTAATGGACTTGATTTAATAACAGAAGTAAGAAATGTTATCAGTTTGATTGTGTTACTCACTCTGAAGCTATAAGCTTAAAGAAACGCTTTCAAATCTGTTCCTGGAACAATTAGGAACCAACCAGTACTGAGCAATGAGTATAAAGTTTCTTGCTTAAGGAGCAATGACTTGCCCCTGACAGGGTTTGAACCCATGCAGATAGCTATCAATAAAATACTTGTCTGACTTGTTAACCACTTGGCCATGTGGCCTCTTAAGCGACTTGTGCATACAATGTAGTCTGTTTCAATTTTTGGAACTGTTTATTGTTTATTTTGGGGATGTGTTAAGATGAAAACTTAGTAAGTCAGCCAACAGGATAGAGCCTAAGTTTGACTGCATGGTTTTTGCATGCTGACCTTGCTCCGTACGATCACTTTCGGTCCCAGTAGGGTATAGGGGTAAAATTAACTTATGGAAACCAATTCTGTTCAAAAGAGAATTTGGTTCATATTTGTAATGAATTTTACCTCTCAGTAACTCAGTAGCAATTGATTTGTGCTTTCTCTTAAGTGATTTTTAATTGTTCCCCTTTGAGGATTTAAAGATTTTCAAAAAGCAATTAATCAAGAATGTCTTTGAACACTGTGTCATGTTTTTGTAGTCCTTCTCAAAAAAAGAGGATATTGAACCATGTTGAAGGAAATTTAACAAAATTACAAAGAAAATGAAATGAAAAAAAAAAATGTTTGAAAGTGCCTCAAATGTTCTTTCAGGCCTTTTGAATTGCATTTTAAAACTTGTGACTTTATGGTTTATTACCCAGCCTCAGAGTTATAAGCATGCTAGGTGTTACTTGTGTTTTTATTAAATTAAAAAAAAAAAGTTATGATATTATTTTGTAATTTTAGTTTCATGTTTACAATAAACAATATTTTCTTTCCTTTTATCTATTGTTCTATAATAATGTTTTAATTTGCTTTTTTTCCTGGTTTGTAAGTATTTTCTTCCACCATTAGCAACTAGATAAAGAAGTTATGACAATAGTTCACTAAGTGTGTTTATCAGCTCATTAATTTGTGGAAGTTAATTATAATTTGAATTAAAATTAGGGAAATTTTGATTAACTTACTGTTATGAATGGTGATTATGTAAAATAGCTTTTCACATCAGTTTCGATTTTTTTGGTTTCTAGGTAAAAAAGATATTGTGAAAATGAAGAACACAGAAACTGATATATATATATCATTAAAATGTTGGGTCTGAAATTATTATAGGTTATTTTATAGTGAACTTGAACAATATGAGAATATATTTGGACTAATTCACACCTGATGAAACCATATTGGACAACTGGCAAGGGGAGTCCAATATGATTTCTCAAGCAGTGTACAAGTCCAAATATATTCCAGTATCTAAGACCTCTTCAATGTTGAATAACCTGTAATAACCTGTTTATTCTACATCCAAATAATATTATGGAAAGGCAAAAATGTGACCTGATATATTTTTTTATTTGATGAGTCATTAGTTTTCCCAAAAATGCTGCTTTTTCTTAAACTGCTTAATTTTAGCATTTTGGTATTGAAATGTCTCAGTTACAAAAAAGAAAAAAAAACTCTTCTATTTTTACAAGTGCTAATGAAACAATTCACATTCATTCTTCTAAAATGTCTAATTTTATATTTACAGAGAATCTCAGAACGAGTTGAACTCATTGACCCATCTGATAGAGTCTATGTGGACACAGTATGAGCCGACCGTCTCGCCAAACAATCTTAATCTTGACGAGATTTTCTCGTTCCTGCAGAAGGAGCAGGGAGCAGAGGCTCGAGGGAGCAAACAAGGGAACAAGACCCTCGATGAGATAACAGATGAGCTTAATGAACTCAATGATTTGTTAACTCAAGATATGGTAAGTGCTTTTGAATTTTCGATACTATTTTTAGTGCTATAGAGATTACAGTCAAACCTTTAAATATGGCAACCTAATTGTCTCCAACTTTTACATTTTGTTCTCAGAAATCATATCGGACCTTAATAGTAGTTCATCACGGTAATTACTGGTTAGTTATCTAGGAAAACCAGTTGTAATAAGGTGAACCATTTAACTGCCAAAATATAACCAAATAAATGTTTAAATCAATGTTAAAATCAGACAAATAAACAAACTTGGATATTGGGTCATTTAGTAAAACCTTTCAGACTTTTATGAGCAGTATTATTATATATGTTCATAATGCAGGTTGTCATTAACACAGGTTTGACTGTAATACATGTGCATGCCTTTAGACTTCATGCTGTTTTTCACAAGGGTATTGTACAGAATCATGGCAACATGGCTGTGAAGAAGTTTGGCTTCAATAATTTGCCTTTTTATTGCTTCTATAATTTTCAGATGATTTAATTACATGTGCTGTTTTAAGAACTTTTAGTTGTATTTTTTTCAGCATTTTGTCTGGATCTAACTCAAAGATTTTATTTCATTTTGTATTGTCCATCAATGCAGGTTATTATTGTCGTATCAGTGGTTGCTTGTTAAATTTTTTTCACTGGCAACATTGAAAAGTTGCTGAGGCAGAATTGCATTTAAGTTACTTTTTTTGTCATTTTTAGCTCGACTTTTCTATGAAAAGGGGAGCTATCCTACTCGCCCCGGCGTCGGCGTCGGCGTTGGCGTCACACCTTGGTTAAGTTTTTCGTACCACCCCACTTTATTTCAGAAGTATTACAAGTATGGCTTTGAAACTTACCATACTTGTTCACCATCATAACCTCCATCTACAGACAAGAGTACATAACTCTGTCAAGGTTTTTGACAGAATTATGGCCCTTTTTTGACTTAGAAAGTGTATTGAGCTTGGTTAAGTTTTTTTGTACCACCTCACTTTATTTCAAAACCATTGGAGGTATTGCTTTGAAACTGACCATACTTGTTTACCATCACGACCTTCATCAACAGACAAGAGGACATAACTCTGTCAAGGTTTTTGACAGAATTATGCCCCTTTTTGACTTAGAAAATACATTGAATATGGGTAAAATCCACTTATTGCCTTAACCTTTGAGATATTGCTTTGAAACTTTTAATGCTATTTCACATCATTACCCCCATCTGTACGCAAGAGAAGGTAACTCTGTCAAGGATTTGTTTTAAAAATTAAGGCCTTTTATCGACTTAGAATCTTGGTTAAGTTTTTAGTACCAGTCCACTTTTTGACTGAACTGTTTGAGATATTAATTTGAAAGTTGGAATACTTGTTTACAATCATGATTCCCAAACATGTCCAGGAGAAGGTAATTCTGTCAAAGATTTTATTTGAATTATGGCCATTGTTCACTTTAAAAATACAGAGATTCTTGTATTGCCTTTTACTGCAAAAACTTTTTTTATTGGCAAGCAATAAAAAAGTCGAGCGCGCTGTCTTACGGACAGCTCTTGTTAAAACAACATAGTCCATTCGCTTATCTCAAAATAGAGAGCATCAAATTTGTAATCCCGAGGTTGCTGGTTCATTTCTCGGACGAAACAAAATTTCTGTGTGACATTCTATCTCAGACATTGAGTGTAATGCGCTAACCACTCAGATTCAAAAAAGCATGTGGTCACTTGCAGAGAAATGGGTAATTACTGGTTGGTTATCCAGAAATATCAGTTAGGTGAACCATTACTGCCAAGATTACTGAGATTACAAAAAATATGTTGAAATTAATCAGCATTAAATAATGATCCAAACAATTTAAAACAACATTAATTAAAAGAATCTGTTATCATACGCAGAGATATCTCTGAAAGTCATTATTACTTTTGAGACATATTTCAGTGGTGCCTTCAAAAAACATTCAAAACAGTTACCATAATGCCTTATTCCAAATTCAAAGGGAAAAAGATTTGTCTTGCTTTGTCTGAGAAGTATATAGTTTAAATCATCTTGAAAGGAACGCTGGTATTATGACTGGACACTTCTGGCCGAATACAATCACTATGAAAGGAATCAATCTATTGGAGAGATATATTAAGTATTAAAGTACATTTCTAGAGACTGGTTTTGATTGTTTGACAGAGCTGATGAGACTGATTATTGTCTTTTCCATATTCCATTACAACAGTTATTTAATTTTGCATTTACTACTGAATAGTGTCTGTGTGCTGACAGCTGCATCTGACTGTTTTAATACACAGGCAACTTAAAAATGATCCGGAAAATATGAACTCTCCCTGTTTGTTTTGTTGTTTTGTTTTTTTTCCATTTGCATTTATGGCACCAAAAGTAATTTACTTACATACTATCCCAGAAATATTTTGGATTAGCACTTATTTCCAGTTATCAGTTATCAAGTCCATCTTGTGCTTCAAAATTATTTTTGGACTGGATGTAAAACAATTCTATGTCCTTGTTGATCTGTATGGATATAGAACGGTTAAGTTTGAGTCACATTATATTCATTATAGTCTGACATATATTCTAGGGGATCTGGTGTACATATCAACAAATATCGTAGTCTGGTCATAAAAAGGAAAGAAAAACAGAAGACGGGGTAGCAAGTGACTTTACTATATATATTCATGCCCGTTCTTATAAAAGCCTTGTTTCCTAAATTATATCAATTCTGGGTCAGCGGCCATGCTCCGACTCCAATTTATTTGACTTTGATGGAAGCAGATATCAAGTTCGCATTGGGGGGGAAGTATTGGCTCTCGGCTGTAATGACTGTAATTGCTATGTATACTTAGACAAAACGTAAATATCGGGAGTGAAAATTACATGTTAAGAGAAATTATAAGATGACCAGCTTTACATAAAGTGGTCATTTTCTGTCAGGAACTTTGAGTGATGAAAGAGCAAAATTTTGTAAGAGTACATCTTGGGACTTATTGAAGAAAATGTGGGTCATATACAGTTTGAAGGTTTTTCAGATAGCTATCTTATGGTTTTTGTTTTTTTTTGAAAGATCGTTGATTCCATTCAAAAAAGTGAGACACAAAGTCACCATTATTTAAAGATAATCACAATTATTTTATTTTAAAAAAAACAAACTTTTAAGTGGTGACCTTTTAATCAGGAAAAAAGAAACAAGGTTATGAAAAATGAATTTTTCTTTTAATCTGAAACACGTGAAATTCAAGTATAATAGCAACGGTGTATTATGCAGCAGTTTTTATGTACGTTGACATATTAAAATTATAAGGCGGAATGAAAACTTATTAAAATTTTGCACCATCATAGAATATGATAATAGAAATGTTTCAAAAACAAAAAAGAAAGATCGGGGGATACCATTCGGGTGACCCCTACATTCTTCTAAGTTTTCATTTTGCCTACTTATATGAAGATATAATGCCCATATAAAAATTGTAGCATATGTCTGGGTTTAATGTTGACATTCTTCATTTTCCTTAGTAGGGAAAAAATACCCTTTTTTTTCACGGGCAAAAGTAACCTTAAATAGGTCAAAAAAAATATTGGTTACTGTGATGGAAATAAAACAAAATGAAAATGTTTCGGTCTTTCATGATTATCTGTAAAAAAAGCTGGAATCATTTCTGCTCTTTAGTAGCTGTAAATACTGCGGCAAGCAGGAGTTCTAAAATAATCTAGTGGTTTCATTGTTGATAGGTTTTCAATGTTCGGTGGATGTTTTTTCCCCCTTTTTCCTGAAATAAAAAATTGTAGTATAAGACAGAAATGATTCCTGTAATTGTTTTTATATTGATTTTGGGGACTAAATAATTACACTGAGAACCCATTAAGTATAATTCTGACATCTGTTTAGAGGAGTGACTCCGTAGGTTTCTGTCAAATTTTCTGATTGGTTAATCCAGGCGTGTATTGTTAGGCATTATCGCTGGAGTGCGTATCACCCAACAACTACAGGAAATAGTTCAGTAGATATTGTCCGGAGTATAAACGTACTATATATGCCTCTCTGATAGATGAATATATACAATCTGTTTTATTTTGTTATATGGAAAAAAAGAAAAGGAACTGAACAAATAAATCTTTATAGGCGTTTTGATGTAATATTCTCAATGCATGTTCAGGATCAACTTAAACAGCGAATTTATTGGCTCGAAATATTTTGCCGTACTTATTAATAAATTCATTGTTGCATTTTCTGCTCTATCTCTCTATAATAGTTTTTACATGGGGAAAATCTCTTTTGACTTGGCTAGGAAAATGGATATATAACAGCTAGTAAACAGATATATTTTTCCAATAGAGGGTTGTTGTGTGAATGCTTTGTAATGCATTTCAAGTAAAAAGGGCCCTGAAATATAGAATAATCTTTTATTTAATTTTATGTCAAAAAAAGGAATAGCAAAGAAAAAAAAACCCTGCAGGAATTGCATTTAAATATGTCACTATAAGTTTAGACATTTATTGGGAACTTAATTAAATAGTGTTTTTCTATTTATTTGTTCATTTCGAGTAAAAAAAGTGAAATTTTATGTGAAATTTTAGTAATTATATAATTATAAATAAACTATAATGAATAAGTTCAACAAGCATTGTGAATTATTGGATTATAAACAGGCTTTGATCTAATGCTTTACAGTTTGTTATTCATAGTGCTTACACTCAGATCAGCTGTGACAAACTGCTTGTGATTCAATTATAGTGATTGGATTATAGTGATCATTTTATAGATATATATATATCTAAATATATATATATATATTGTTTTCATTTGAATTATAGTGCTTTGAATTATAGTGCTTTGAATTATTGTGTGCTTTGAATTCTAGTGATTTTGTTGCTAATTATTGTAGGATACTGAAGAGGTGAGTAAGATATTCTAACCCTAAAACATGTTTATTAATCCATTTTGGTCTTGAGGATGTATTTTCAGCATGAAAAAAAATATTATATGATTCTTAATCTAGTGTTTACATCTTTATTTTCCCACTCCAGTTTTAGGAAATTAGAAAAAGTAAAAACGAAAATTTGATATATTACCCCCATAATTAATCATTCACAACTTTTTACTTACCTATGTGTAAGAAAAGGTAAGATTACTATCAAATTTAAATTTACTTAATAATTATATAATTACTCTAAAAAAAAGGTTAAAAAAAAAATTGGGAAAAAAAATTCTTACTTGCATAATATTAACCTATAGGTAGTTAACCCGCCAAAATATAGAAAATATTGTTATGTTAGTTGTACTAAACAACAATTATTGTTAGTTATAAATAATATAGCATTAGAAGTTTCAAATAGTTATATTTTCCTTGGATGTTACACCTATTCCTTTAAACGTGCATGCTTTGAAATATTAGCAAGAAAAATAAAAGTCTGTGTATTGTAACAAATTCAATACTTTTCCCTTTCATATTTACAAATATTATAGATAAAAATAGAATAAGTCTTCATTAAAAATACATCAAAAGATTTAGCCAGGTATGTTAGATTTCAACTAAGCCTAAAATTTGAGTCTTCATTAGCATTATAAATTTGAGCAGTTTGCACGATATGCATATTTTTTTATAGACTCATGCTATTGAGTTGTATTTCATAAAAGTGTTAAATTCGGTTAAAATTTAGTTGGAATAAATTAATGTCTTTATCCACAACTGCTAAATTTGCCTCTGAAATGTCTGTTATTACCACACACATGATATAAGAATATTTAATTGAATGCCATTATACATATATGTTATTAAGTTATTATACTTTATTAAGGTTATTATACTTTATTATGGTTATTATACTTAAACACATGTTTCTTAATTTGCAGAAGTTTCACTAGCAGGAAATGTAATATTATAGATGGCCTGCAAACCTTTTTAACAAAACAATTATTGTAACAAATTTCTATTGAAAACATACATGTCAGATAACAAGATCCTCATTTCGCAAAAAAAAAATCTTACGAAAAGTCATAAGAGTAAAATCTGTCGTAAATTTGCATAAGTAAGCGTAACTTTGCATAAGTAAGAGTAAAATTTTACACTAAGAATAAGATATTATGCTGGTTCATAATAAATTAAAGTCACTAAAGCCTAGGAATTGACAGTTTCATTTGAAACATTCCACCTTTTCCAATCAATATTTCAAAATATGTTTCATTTTTCCTGTTATAAATTGGCTCATGTAAACAGTTCCATTGTTCTTTTAGTCTCCCATTTTGTTTGTTTTTCATTAACATGATTACTTGTAAATAATGACCATTATTATTTACATATAAATAAGGTCCAGAATTGATTTAATGTAATGGTATGAATTATAAATACAACATTTTGATACTGATTGTCAGTCACATAATATAATGTACCAGTAACAGAATTAAAAATGTTCTAATAGAAATATAATTGGTAATTGATAGAACATAATTTGAATTTTTTGCTTTTCATTTATCTGAGTATTGCAAAATAGTAATTAATTACTTTTACAATTTGTGTCCAGAATTTATTTGTCATATTGTATACTAATTGTTTTATATTATTAATGCAGAAAGCAATATTAAAGCATGATGGAAAAATTACAATTTCCCATAAGATAAATCATTACAGTTACTGTTTCAATATGTTGGTAAAGTTACAATTTCCTATTACTATTAGGGAAAATATTGTCATAACTTTTTTGATGGTATTAGTACAATTACCCATGAGATTGTAATCATAATAATATTATATAATGATTACATTTATTCCTATGGCATAAAGCATTACAATTACCAATGAGACAAAACTTTACAGTACCATAATAGGATAGAGTTAAATTACAATAAATCATGAAATAAATCATAACAATTACCTATATGATAGTGTGTAAATTAAATTACTATTACAATTGGGACAAAGAATTACAATGAACTATTTAATATGGAATTCAACATTTTAATAACCTTACCATAGTATTATTACAGTTCCTTATAATGAGGTTACAAAAACATCATTGTATAATTATAATTGGATAATTGATTAACATCACAATTACTTAAAGCATTACATTTACATAATGTAACATGTAAATTGAAATTTTGGAGCTGATATATTAATGAACTTCTGAACAATAATAATATATTAAGCTAAAGCATTCATTAAAAAAAAAGATTATTCACATATTTAAACAGATGCAGCTCTCAAAATTTCTCTGTGTTTATACATTTGTCTTACGATGATTTTTCTTAACATAAGTTTTGACCACATATTTTGTATGAACAGAAGCTGGTTATTGTTTATGTAAATATGATACCTGTATTGCCAGGCTGGATGTTATCTTCAGGTACACTGTACAGTTTGTCAAGATAAACATGGAGAGTATGATTATAGCTCTTTGGCAGGCAGTCAGAGCTTACTAAATTCTTACAAACCAACATATGTTTTCCCTGCAGTTTTGTAAATAATTTAGGCAAAATTCTTTGCTGAAAGCTAGATTTCTTTATATTTTTGAGGCATTAAGAACCAGTCATAAATTCTTCAATATGAGTGGTTTATTTTAAAATCCAAATTTGAAATTGACCAATGACAGTACTCCAATTTTACAATTTTAGACTTAAGTAACAGTTATCAAGCTTTTTGTTTGATCCTCACAATTTTGGATTTTTATGCTTAAAGTCAATCAATGTAAAAGTGTTTATCCATTTATCATGCCAAATGCTCAATTATACAGAATGAAGCTCATACATAAGGTTAAGATTGGTGGTTCCACTCAGGTGTCGACTGCTCAATTGCCAAGGAACACCTGAGGTCTTCCTACACCAATAAAGCTACAGAACTAGTCGCCATAATATTGACCCAATAAAACACACCGAGTTTCATTTCATTATTACACAGAAACAATACAATTAAATCAGATTAAATATTAAATTGGGACCTAAAAAAATGTATACACTGCTGGACTTTCCTCTTTAATTTTTGCTTAGAATGTTACAAGATTTAAAGTCAGCAAGTTCAAAGCCATCATTATATAATTCTGTTTTAAATAAAAAGCCAGATGCTTATTAAAACAGCTTGAACAAGACTGATATGTTGTAAAAACTCTTGCTAAAAAAAGGAAACAAGCCCTATTCATAATCTGTTGTTTTAGTGTGTGTTTTTCTTCATTTCTATTAACAATATGATTTAGAATAATAGTGAACAATGGAGAATGTGTCTAGGAATATGATACGTTTTTGTTGATTGTTTCAATCATATTTAAGATGTCTGGGTTGGTTAACCAAGGTCATTTTCTTCACTAGTAGTATTAGCTTGGTCAGAAAATTTTTGTATGAGATGAAACATCTTCATGTAAAGTAAGTCACCATAATTATGGTAAAAATGGCGTTTTACCAGGCTTTATATACTGTTAATGTTGGCTTGCTAATTTTCATCTTGAAATTTGTTATTGAACAGTTCTGAAAATGTATGTTAATCAAGTCCTGTTAAAGAAATAAAGCAATGTAAGGCTTGACTCATATAATCTGTTACCATGGCAGCTGATCTTTGGTCCAGTAAATGAACAGGTTGTACTTGTAATTCAGGAGTTTAATGTATGATCCTCTGCTCCACCACTAACAACTCTAATGATCTTTTAGAGGAGACCAGGAAAGCCAAGGTCTCATGTTTTGGTTGCTCTACACTGGACCTGTAACAGAACATGGGGTTGCCTCTGGAATTTAGGCAACTGCTGTAAAAATTACACGACCCCTTAAATAACAGTTCACTAGCTAATTTATAAAGGTTTAAGGGGTCCAGTGACCAAGATATAAGCAAAAATCAACAGAAAAAAATACTCAGAAAGTGAATAATAAATGTTTTGATACAATTTGTTTCATTTATTAAAAAATTAGCCCTTTGTTCAATCTCTTCTCTCTTGAAATTATCAATCTTTTACTAGAGCTACAAGTTCTATATTATTAACTAAAATCACCAATTATTATGATATACACATGCCTTTGAAAATCCAAATTTTCATGTTACAATCAATTTTCCGAGGAAATGTTGTCGTAAAGTTCTATTTTGCTTGTCATTTTTGTCTGTAGTAGAAACTTCCTATAATATAATGATCCCTTACATATCTTTGATGTGAAATACTTTATTAACTTGACTTTATATCTATATAAATCAAGCGTTTTTACTCGAAAATGTCTCATGTCTCGGAAAAATATATAATTTAGTAGAAATTTCCCCCTTCTTTGTACTGTGAAAGCATAGGAAAAAATAAAGTTTATATAACGTAAAATGCATCATTTTCTACTTACAAATAAACAACAAAATAAGATCGGATACTTATTTGAACTGCGGTAACTGCACTTTTACATTAGTGTCAGTGATGTTTTAAAGTGATTTAAGCAATAGGTTGAGTTTCAGAATTGTACTGTTACAGTCATATAATAGAATTACATTCTTGACAATTTGTAACATCGTTAAAATCAGTCCATTTCTCTGAAAATAATAATTTATTTATTCCTTTTGTTAAAATAAATGAAAATTTTACAACTGGCGTAATTTTAAGAACTTTAATTAACAAAAATTAATAAATTTTGATATAATTGTAAAAGTTATGCATAAGAAGAAGATTATGACTCAAACTTTTTTTCCCTCTTAAATTCTGTTGAAGATGATATTATGTCTCTATACTTAGTGATATAAGTTTATTTTGTCTCTATATAAGTTTGTATTGTCTTTAAGAAATCTTTTAATCTCAAATCTGGCATCTTGTTTATTCTCACATACTGTATATTTATGATAAAAATAGATTCTAAATTGAAACATTGTAACTGTGGGAGTAAAAGTCGAAAAATAATACCAATATTACTTATCTTATAATTATAACAAATAACCTCAACAAGTTCATTGTTCTTAGTACAGTCAGGACTCAATACATCGGAATCCATTATACTGACAAATTCAAGTAACGACAGTGAATTGGTGGGAACCAAATTTTTTCAACGTTATTATAATCCTTTATAACGGAAAATTCGTATTCCGACTCCGACACAATAAAATTGGAAACCAAACATGTTATTTTCTATACAATCAGTACCCGTTAAACTGACACTTGGTCAGTCAAGCGCACGTATAAAAGTAAAGCCGCAAGGTGTTAAAACAGGTATTGTAGCTTGGTCAGTTGATTGTTACACCTTATTTCAATACCAACGTGTTGTTGTCAGCTGAATTTTGTTACTCCTGCCAACTTATGACAACAAACAGTGTGCAACCAATTTTTAAAGGTTTAACTTTTAAAAGTCCTATCATTCATTTGTATATGCTTTTATTATTTTAGTTTTATCATTTTCATAAAAATCTTTAACTATTTAAGTTGTTATTATTTTAATGATGTAGTTATATTATGTGTATGATATGTAATGTGTGTAATGAAGTGAACAAATAAACACAAACTCTTTTTCATAAGATGAAAATTATAGATCTAAATACATAATGTTCAGATACCAGTGAGTAAGCATATTATTTCATGATGAATGATGAAATTCATTATACTGACAAATTCGATATACTGACATATCCTTTGGGAACCAAGAGTGTCGTTGTAATGAGTCCTGACTGTACTTGCTTTAAATTTGGATTGTACCCAATAAGAAAAGCTGTGTTTAAGTTAGTCGTTCACTATATCATAAGAGCTGATGGGATTAAGTAAATGGTCACTTGTGGTGAAATTGGTGGTGAAATTGGTAATTGCGGAGAGTCATTTAGGTGGATCGAGCACCAAGATTCAAAATGTGATAAAATCAGCATTATAAAAAAATGAGAAAAACAAACTTACCAATAATTAATAGACAGTGCATGGATAAGATGGTAATATATTTTGCACTAGCAGGGAGGCAGGGTGGGGGGGGGGGTGGTTAAGTATGTCCTTTGGTGATCATTTAATAGTACAAAGCAGTTATCCACCATCATTCATTCAGTAAGGCCTTCTTGATAAAAAAGCGGGGCAATGACCATGAAAGAAAGATGTAATTTTTGTAATTGAATTGAAAGCTAACATTTTAAATTTTTTAACATACTCTTTAATTTAAAATATAAACATTAATTTTGCTGAAAACTATAAGGTACGAATATGCAAGTTTAAACAAACATCATTCATTATGACCAAGCAAAACCTTTTTTTAATCATTTCTAATAACAGTTTTTCTTTTAATTTACTGAGCTTATATTCATATGTTAATATCAATACATTTTTGCACCTATATCGTTTCCTAGACAAAAACTTACAAATGTCTCGGAAAATGAGTATCGAATTTAGGAGAAAACGTTGCCCGTGATGATACTGATTGTTTGTGACACAAATTATAGCCAACAAGTTGGCTCGTGTCCCTGGGAAAATGACGCGGCACTATTAGATTAAGCTAAGCTCCCAGGAGCATGTCTTTCTTCTTCCTTGGCAATGTAAGTATAGAACCGAAAATTTAAGGGAAAAATATTACCATATCTTAATGGGGATTTATGAGCTGGTGTTAAAAGAAAACGGTTTTCTTATCTTGTAAAGCAAAATGGAGTTGTTTTTTCAGAAAATTAAGAGATATTTCTGCTGTTTAGAGACATAATTGTATATGGTAGGTCTTAATTGGTCCAAAACAGTTGGTACTTCCATTTTAAGTCGTATAAGTTACAACTGTTTTGCATGAAGGCGTTAAATTATACATCGGATATGATTTAATGAATTAAATGAATAAAAATAAGATACAGGTCTATTTACTCGTAGTTAAGTTCAATGATGAAGACTGTCGTAAGTAAAAGTAACCAATTTAATTTTTACGTTTTGATTTTCCTGTAACATTCCGGGGAATGAGCTTGGAAAAACCCACATTTGCCGAGTTCCGCATAACACTTGTTGATCAGCTAGTCACTTGAACAAAAAGTTTGTATGATGAAAATGATATGTATTGGAATTCCAGTAAAATCTTATCTTGTACAGACTTTATAACACCTCTTCAACTTTTGACCATCATTGAAAATTGACAACATTAAGACCGACATTCCAAAGCGTGATAAATATTCACAGTAAGATATTCTGAACTTGGGAGTAAAAGCCACTTAATTACCAAGACATTCTCCGATTCCATAAAAGCACAATCCCCAAAGGTACATATATTTACTTGAATGGCATATATGACCTTAGTCTGCCCTGTACATCACTGGGGTGTCATGCCGCAAACAAAATGTCAACACTATTAATAAGACCTTTTGAAGTTCACATCACATCAAGCTTTCATTCTGATGATCCAAATAAATGGGAGCAACAGGACTCTAGATTTATGACAATTTGTTATGAAAATATAAAAAAGTTCTAAATAATTAAAGGAGTAGAAAAAAAATAAAAATGGTAAATTAAATTTAGTGGAATTTTGCCTAAAACTTACCAAGTGCCACATTGAACAATGATTGTGTGTATTTCATAAACTTAATATAGTTTTATAAGTTTGGCCAAAAAAAAATTTTGGTGTGCCTCTTTAGGAAAATAATATAGTTTTATCAATTTTGAAAAAATATATAGAAAATGGTATGCATATTGAGGAAAATTAATAAAAAATTTAATATCTTCTTACTTAAATAAAATTTTAGAAAACAAGGAGAGGTAATTTAAATTTGTAGTCGTGATTTGTAACTGTAAATATAATTATAAAATGGAGGATAATTCTGTAGCTGAACGAATTCAGGTTGTAATAAGTTTATTTTATTGAGAGTTATAAATCAGTAAACATGTTCTATAAATTTGATGATGTAAACTTATTGAAAAATTGTCTCCCTTGTTTATCTGATATATTTAAATTCATCATATTTAGTCTGGAGCAGTCTCATGTTATATGCATGAATCTTCTATACAAACCAGCCAGTTTGTTAATGAGTCATTAATATACAGTAGCTGGTAAATAGTTTGTCTACTTATGCGACTAAATGGCATGTTTTGAAATTCTTGCTTGACGTATTTTGGCATAGTTGCATAACCAAACTAAACCCTTAATTCTTTTCTTAATATTCTTGCATTGCGTTTTTTGAGAAGAAAATTACCAATTAGTTTGCGGGGAAATTGGTGTAACATTATGAGAGTTTACATTTGTACATGTTGGCTAATTTTTTTTCTAAAAATTAAGACGGTATTTTATGAAAGTAAAATAACAGAATGACTTTTAGATTATTCAATCTGACTGTATGGGGAAAGTAAACTTAAGGTTAACAAAAGAAAACTTTAGTTTCCTGAAAGTGATTTTTATTTTTATGATCATATCTCATATCATTGTGCTACGTAGTGTAGTGATTTGAAGTGTTTCATATCATAAGTTGAAGTCATTGTCTTGACATAAGATTGTTATCTTGTCAATATGACCTTGAACCTCAATTATGTTAGTAGTTGTTATAAAGAAAGACATTACTTCATATTGTACAATAAGATAAAATATTCATATTTTTGAAGACAAATATGTGTATTTATATTTACAGGAGCTACAAGATCTTGAGGCTCAAACTGAGCAAGAGAGGCGAGAAGGCAGTATTGATAATTTACCACCGCCCCCGGAGATCTCAGCTAGTACAGAGAACCTTGCTGACTCAGAACTTGAAACCTTGCCTCCACCTCCAAGTGGTGAGGTAGAAACAGTTCCACCGGCCTTCATTCCACCCCCTCCACCACCGTTACCTCCTGGTGTTCCAGCTCCGCCTCCTGTCCCACCGGTAGCCAATCCAAACAGCGGGCGGCCATTACCTCCTACTCCACCAACAAGGAGAGATAGCCACTTGACTAACAGACAGTCTCAGAGAGGTAGCTCATTAAGCTCCTTGGAATATCAAGAAATCCAGAATGCCATTAATGAAATAGAAAATATAGAGTTTGACTATGCCCCAAAACCTCCGGTTCTTCCACCACCACCCACTATACCAGCTCCGCCTTTGCCCCCTGGTGTAGAGATGAGTCAACACGAAAAAGAAAAACTCAGCAAGAAACAAAGCCTCACGATAGACGTGCCCGATAATATAAATCAAAATAAACTTCAAGTTCAAGGACCTTCCAATGTAGAAGCACTGTCGCCAAAAATGGAGAAAAAATTACATAACCTTCTAGAAGGACCGGATGATTCATCAAAAGGGGAGGGCTTGATTCCAAACGGAAGAACTCCAATGACTCCGCCTACCCCGATGAGTCCTGTATCAGATGGAGGTACCGATTTTGGAGAGGTATACGACATGCTGGACTATGCAGAGAAATATTTCAATGAACATCCGAAAGATGTTAGCGGTACCTTGATGAAGAGTCTGAAAAAGAGGAACTCACAAGAAGTAAGTGAAAATTTTAGAAATTGTGCTTTCCTATTATTTGAAATACATAGTTGGTAAAAACTATAATTTGTTCAGAATGAAATGACTTGGTTAAATAAAATTAAGGCTATATCATTGATACACTTGTACAAAAAACATGAAGTTTGATTTAATGATCAAAATAGTATTGAATGAAAATTTATGGTCCAAACAGTTCTATATTAATTTTACTGTTATTCATGTACTTTGTAGAAAAAAGATATTTATATTTAAAAACACAATTGTATACTTTTGTAAAGTTTTTTTAAAATTTTAAAGCATGATTATGAAATGGTGAAGAGATCTAGTCCAAAAACTGTATGAAAATTAATGTTTTGTAATAGGAAAGTACCAGTAAATATGAACAGGTAGTTGGAAACATGTTTTACACAATATTTGAAACGTAACTCTCAATCTATTTCAACATAAAGTCAAGATTTTTTTCCCCCTAAGATCCTCCTGATTTATAAACTCTGTTGTTAAATGGTGTGAACAGAATGTGCCAGCACATCTTCTCATTCAGAAATTAATTTCCTTTCTTGTGGGGAAAAAAATTGATGAATCATCATTAAAAATTCATTGCAGAATGCCGCTGTTTATTTAGTATCTGTGATATTAGCTTTTAGCCTGCTAAAACTGTATATTGGACTTGCCCTGTTTAAATTAATTTGGAACAGTCCATAATGAGTATTAAGGTATGTCGGTATGAAAATGCTAAAATTAAATATCTTCAAAGGTCAAGGTCACTGGTGTAATTTTTTTTTTTTTTTACATTTTTGCTCAAACAGCATTTATTTTTAAATTGATGTCTTTAATGTTTAATATGCACATGTCTAGGGAGGTCCTCTTCCCTCAGGTTTAGTTAGGGTTATTTGGGTTAAGGTCAAGGTCACCAATACCAAAAATAGATTTTTACACTTTACAGGTATCATCTTTTTCTAGTGTTATATTATACTTTTTAGCTCGACTATTCGATAAGAATAAGTAGAGCTATTGCAGTCACCCGAGCGTCGGCGTAACCACTTATGTTAAAGTTTTTGTAATAGTTCAAATATTTTCAAAATCCATTGACATATGGCTTTGAAACTTTGCACACTTGTTCACCATCATGACCCCAACCTGTAAACAGGAGGAGGTAACTCTATCAAGCATTTTGACAGAATTATGCCCCTTTTTCGACTTAGAATTTACGTTAAAGTTTTTGTAATAGTTCAAATATTTTCCAAGTCCATTGACATATGGCTTTGAAACTTTGCACACTTGTTCAACATCATGACCCCAACCTGTAAACAGGAGGAGGTAACTCTATCAAGCATTTTGACAGAATTATGCCCCTTTTTCGACTTAGAATTTATGTTAAAGTTTTTGTAATAGTTCAAATATTTTCAAGATCCATTGACATATGGCTTTGAAACTTTGCACACTTGTTCACCATCATGACCCCAACCTGTAAACAGGAGGAGGTAACTCTATCAAGCATTTTGACAGAATTATGCCCCTTTTTCGACTTAGAATTTACGTTAAAGTTTTTGTAATAGTTCAAATATTTTCCAAGTCCATTGACATATGGCTTTGAAACTTTGCACACTTGTTCAACATCATGACCCCAACCTGTAAACAGGAAGAGGTAACTCTATCAAGCATTTTGACAGAATTATGCCCCTTTTTCGACTTAGAATTTATGTTAAAGTTTTTGTAATAGTTCAAATATTTTCAAAGTCCATTGACATATGGCTTTGAAACTTTGCACACTTGTTCACCATCATGACCCCAACCTGTAGACAGGAGGAGGTAACTCTTTCAAGCATTTTGACAGAATTATGCCCCTTTTTCGACTTAGAATTTACGTTAAAGTTTTTGTAATAGTTCAAATATTTTCAAAGTCCATTGACATATGGCTTTGAAACTTTGCACACTTGTTCACCATCATGACCCCAACCTGTAAACAGGAGGAGGTAACTGTATCAAGCATTTTTTTTACTATCAAGCACTAAGAATAGTCGAGCGTTGCTGTCCTACTGACAGCTCTTGTTCAGTATAGAGTCTGGTCAGCCTGCACAAAAGTGGATTGTTGCTGGTGGCATAAAATTATTATTACTGCTTAAGCTTTCTTCAAATTGCCATAACACTTACCTCACTAAATATCTTAAATGGACTTGACCACCTTTTAATCTGGACAAAACCATTCTTCATTTTAAGGGAATATTTGAAAATATTTATTGACTGAATAGCAAAGAGTGCTGACCATGATAACACAGCAAAAACATGCCAGCGGATCGTGGTCTGCACTGGTTATATGAGCAAATTCAGTTGCCAATATCAGATTTAGAGTTTAAATGTTTATAATGAATAATTTTTTATTATTAATTGTTCTATTTTTTACAGCGAGACTTCCTAAGTAAGGAACAAATGTTAAAGTTCTGTAAATCAGGGCTGATTGCAACATCACATGTTAAGATACATGATACAGAAAACGTATTCCTGGCTTGCTCCATATTTAAGGTAAGGCTTTGTATTTTGATGGTATAAAGGGATGCATCCATCATTAGGATAGGAACATTCTAAATATCTCCTCTTTGTCTGCTTATTAAATAGATAGTTAAACTTTGTCACTTGTGAGAAATTGGTAACCACTAGCTTGTAACCGGTAAGGTAGACTGACGGCCAAGTTATTTTCAAAAATGTGTTAAAATTGCATGAACAGAACATTTTTTTACTCAAATCATTTAAGTATGAAAAAATATTATATACAAGAAATTAGGAGTATTTATCAATATATCGGTGTATCACCCATATTAATCATCCGATATCGGTATATCGTCAATATGCTTTGCACTGAATCAAAATTGGCATAAAAATCAGACAAATAAATTTTCATATTAGACTTATCATAATAACTGATAAATTATGTTTTAAACATACAATGTATTTATTTTAGCTTGATTGCAAAATAAGTTTGTATCTTATAATATTCACTTTTGAGTCATATGAGGAAATATGATTATGGGATTGAACCCATGATCCCTAGGTAGAGAGGCAGACACCTTAACCACAAGGTCACTGCTTTCGTCATAGATTATTTGTTTGGTTTAAAAAAGAATTTTTCTTCATAATATGTTATTGATGCTTTAAAAGTCCATTTGACCAACTGATTTTAAATTATACATGACCATAGAATTATTTCGCATAATTTAAAAGATAGGTATTTTACCTTTAAAATTTTCAAATTTTTTGGCAGGATCTTACAAAATGTATCAAAGATGACATGAAGGATGACTCGGCATCAGCTGTGATACAAACAGTGATACGGCACGGCATTGAGAGGATCGAACTTCGGGATGAAATAATATGTCAGCTGATCAGACAGACGAACGACCCACCAGATGACAGCTGCCTTATTCTCGGATGGCTGTTTATGTGTCTTTGTACTGCTTCATTTGCTCCCAGCAAAAACTTACACAAGGTAAGCCTCTGGGCGATATTGATTGTATAATATTATGTGAGCTCCTATGTGTGATACTGATTGTTAAAACTTAAATGAGCTTCTGTATGATACTGATTGTTTAAAGTTAAATGAAATGAGCTTTTAGGTGATACTGATTGTTTAAAGTTAAGGCTTAGTCTAGGCAATACTGATTGTTTCAAACCAGGTGAGATTTAAGGCAATAATGATTGTTTTCTATTGTACATCTAACTATTGAAATATTGACATAGTTTCTGGTATTTAATTAATTTTTTCAGCATTTGGTATAAATTCACAGTATTTGGTGTATATTTTTTCAGTATTTGGTATATATGTATTTTCAGTATTTGGAATATCTTATTCAGCATTAAATTTTTTAGTGTATTTTTTCAGTATCTGGTATATTTTTGTAGTATTTGATACATATTTTCTTAATTTGGTATACTTTTTCAGTACTTGGTATATTTTATGAGTATTTGGTATATTTTATGTGTATTTGGTATATATTTTTCCAGTATTTGGTATATCTATTCATTATTTGGTATATTTAATGTGTATTTGTTATATATTTTTCCAGTATTTGGTATCCTATGCAAAGCGTCACAGATCTCATTCAGTGATTGGTAAATATGCTCATCAAGTTGTCAAACAGGTTACAGTACCTCGTGCCATGGCCAGGAAATATCCGCCTTCCTTTGCTGAAATTATGGTAAATTCTAACTGCTTTTGTTTTAGTTTATATAAATTTATTACAGTTTTATTGTGTTGGAAGCTATAAGCTTACTGAAACAATTTTGAATCTGTTCCTGGAACTAACTGAGTTTCTTGCTCAAGGAAGAAATGGCTTGCCCTTGTCTTGGTTTTAACACATGGCCAGCAATCCTTAGATTTCTAGTCAGACATGTTAACACATGGCCAGCAATCCTTAGATTTCTAGTCAGACATGTGAACACATGGCCAGCAATCCTTAGATTTCTAGTCAGACATGTTAACACATGGCCATGCTGCCACACATTTCCTTGGGTTATAAATATGCTACTGTATTTTAGTTTTAAGACTTGTTCAAATTATTACAGTGCTATGTTCAATTAATGAACTTGTACTGTTTTGAATTTAGAACAGTACAGTTTCAAGTCCTTGGTGATGGTGCAGATATTTACAGCAATGGTTTGGAGGCTGTCAAAACATGATAAGTTCGCTTAAAAGAGAAAGTAAAATAATTCTTGAAAAAATTGTTGATTTCGTTGTATGAAGTAAAAAGTTTAAAAGTCAGTTGTTTTTTTTTTCAGCAAAGTGGTAGTTGTTCAGGTGGTCTTTCACAGACACTTTTTAATGCATTTTGTTTAGGGTATAGATAAAATAGTCATACAGTACATGTATAACTAATTCAGTTAGTTTATGTTCTGTATTATTGTCTGTTTTACAGAGTATGAGGAATCTGAGTCCACTGATCTGCAAGGTTCATTTCATGGACGGGAAGACCAAGGCGGTCAGTATAATGCCATGTGATACAACCCAGGACGTGCTCAGTAAGGTCGCCAAAAAGATTGGGCTGCAGTCAGTAGAGGGATGGTCCATTTATGAGGTACGAAAAAGCAATTTACCAGTCAAATAATAATTCATAGTGATGTAAAAAGTTTACAGAGGCATCAATATTTTATCCATAGCATTTTTGAATGAATGTTTTGAGTTTTGTTTGAATAGTCACTAAATTTATTTTTCAGGTGACATCAGAATATGAGCGGTACATCAGAGCGTATGAATATGTAGCAGATGTGCTTGCTCATTGGGAAATGTAAGTATTGAAAGTTATGAAGCCGAGTGGTTTATGACCAGTCTAAAGTTCTAAATAATTTACTTTTGGTATGTCAGTCTGTTCGTCTGTCTGTCTGTTTGTTTGTCCCTAACAAAACTTGAACTCTAACCATAACACAGAAGTTCTTCCACAAATACCCTTCAACCATCACAGGTGCATGTACCTACCAGACCCACTTAGAGGTCACAAGGTTCAAGGTCAGGGTCACCAGGGTCAAGGCCTCCATTGGGGGCATGGCAGTCATTTGGTTTTATTTCAACTTGACGTTAATAGGTTTTTTTTGGTTTTATTGGAAATTGTGGGCACTGCAATAATGTTTCACATTGACATTGATTGCCTTTAAATGTAATTGCTATTGTTCTGGTTAGATTTAAATTTTAACATTTGGTGTTCTTAATTTGTTTTTATTGTTAATCAGTTCAGTATATTGCACTGGAAAGACATAACTGTCTTTTAAAGTCAGGCAATTAGCTTGAATTGATTGAATTGAAAGATCATAAAGCTTCCAAAAGATTTTCTTATTTCTCTGTTTATATGATTGTGTTCCTAAAATTGAAATAGTTTCATTAATGTTCCAATTTCAATTTAGTTTTAAGATTAACTGAGCACTGAGTGTTGACATTCACAGATTTCATTGTGTTGTATGTTAGCTTTGTCATAGAATGTCTGTCTGTCTGTCTGTCTATGGGTTGATTGTCAATCTTCTGTAAACTTTATGACTATAGAATGTATTAGTACATAATATATCAGTTTTACCAAATTTTGTTTTTAAAACAATTTGGAAGTCCTTAAAATTTAAAGCTCACTTGAGCACATAGAATTAGTTTTTATCTTCAAGCTAAGTTAACAATATAAGGGGTCACAGGTAACTTGTTAATAGTAGGGGTCCGTAGTCTCAGTGCCTGAAAGGGAAGATGACCCCTCATGAAGTATAGAATACACACACACATTTGTAATATTATTGCATATCTGTCCTTAAAATTGCACAAATGACAAGTTTTAATTCAATCTAAAATCTAGGAGTGAGAGGCAGTCATCCCAGCTCAGTAAATACGAGACTGTATCAAAGAAAGGACCGAAGATGGCACTAGGTGGCAGTGATGCGCGACTAGTGTTCCGTAAACGAGTATACAAACATGTTCATGACATTCCAAATGATCCAGTAGAGTACCACCTTCTGTATGCCGAGGCTGTTAATAAAGTTGTTAAGGTAAGTCATGTAAAAAATAGAACACAATTTAAAAATGATCTTGACTACAATATGATCAGATTTTCCAAGAGTAACATTTCAAAATTTATTAACTATGCTATATATACAGGTTTGGTATGGAGATATCAAATTTACAAACTTATATTGTTGTAATAATCCTCAATATTATTGTAATATTCTTCATGTTACATTTGATTTTTCAGGATGAATTCTCGGTGTCAGACAAGGTGGCTCTACAGTTGGCCGGACTGCAAGCTCAGGTGGTACTAGGTGACTACCAGGAGGGTAAAGGTCAGAGGTACAAGGAAGTCTCACAGTATCTGTGCAAGAGGATCCTCAATTATCAAGGTCTTGACTGGAGCCAACAAGTCGCCTCCGCTCATAAGGTTTGCCTTTTCTCCTCATTTTGTTACTTGAAATAGATTATTTGGCTTAAGGTTGTATGTTTTGAAATTTTGAACCAGGCTCTGAATTTGATTGGCTGATGCAGAGCTGATGTTTTGAATTGACCAATGATATTTGTCTGTCATTATTAGTCAGTCATAAAAGCCTGAAAAATATCCATTTCATGTCAGTAGGTTATTTATAACCAGTTTCATGAAATTCTTAAGAAATGTGGATTTTGAGTAGGGTTTAAATAATAAACAAATATACATGTAAATATTCAGCACTATTGATTATGTAAGTTTTTCAATCCACATTTTGATGTTGAACATATGATAATGATGTTGAATAATTTAATTTTCTGTAGGGAAACCAGAATTTTTTATGCAAAAATATATGTTTTGAATTTTGCAGCAATATGGAACGGGGAAGACGGAGCTTGAGGCAAAGGTGTGGTATCTAACCTGTGTGAAACAGTTCTCACTTTACGGATGCACTTTGTTCCCGATCGTTCATAAAGGACTGTGGCAGCATGCTCACGATGCATTGCTTGCGATCAACATGGACGGAGTGAAATTTGTACGTGCCAAAGATAAACTAGTCCTTCATGACTTCAAATATTCAGAAATTGAATCGATCGCATTGGATCCTAATGATAACTATGTAACAATGGAATTAAAGAACGGAATGGCAATGGATTGCCCGCAGCGGTGTTTCATGTTCGAGACCAATCACAAGGAAGATCTTGGGAACTTGATATCCAGTTACTCACCTGCTCACGCAAACTGGCTTAAACCAGATTACGAAGGAGTTAAGAAGGTATTATATTTAATTTTATACACACGTTATATTTTAAATCCTATCAAAACTTTTGTCGGTCTTAATTTTATGATTTATTATAAGGAAGATTTTTGTACTTGTTTTCATAGGTGTTGTAAGGTAGACGTAATGTGATTTGCTTTGTTTTTTTACCTGTTTTTCTACAATTGAAACATCTTATCTCATTACCATTGTATCATACATGTATATATCTCATTTAATAGCAAGAAAACAAAATGTAAATAATAGATATGTAAAATATTCTAAGATCTGTAGTTTTTAGAATATATATTCATTACTGTATATATTAATTTAAAAGGGTTACAGTTTGCTTTGTCAGACTTTTTTTCTTAATATTAAATGCATATCTTAAAAAAATTAAATATTTTTTTGATAAATTTATTAGCTAATCATATTTGTTAATTTTATGAAATTATCTTATATTATCTTATATATCATGCCAAATTTCATATTGCATTTCATATTAAAATTAAGTGATTTCTGAAGTTATTTTATAAAAATTAATCATTTATGAAATGTTAAATCTCATCAATGAGTTATTTTGTTAGACATAATTCATGATATTAATTTTATCATATTACTATCATGTTAAGTCATATCATATCTTTCATATCATCACACAGGTTGTAATTCATTGCCATGGTATTATCATATTTCATTATTGTCTTATTAAATATATTTTACTATCATGTTATATCAAATTGATGTCATGTTATATCACAAAATGTCAAGTTATCTCATCCCGTATCTCATTGCAGTCATGTCATATTATACATTTATATCATTTTGTCTGCTGAATATAATATATATCATTTCAGTTATTTTTATGTTTCATCCTATTATGTCCTGTTATTGTATCTCATTGCAATCATGTTATATCTCATTGCAATCATGTCATGTTTTATCTCATTATTTCCTCATGTTATATCTCATTGCAATTAGGGCTGTGCATTGCCATTTTTTTCTGTCACGATACATATCACGATACTTGCATTTCCAAACGATGCGATTCACGATATGTATTGCATACTTTGATAAAATACGATGCATATTGCGATTCTTATGTTTCGATGCAATACGTATCACAATACTGACTTTCAGACTTTATCTATATAAAAAACTTGGTCATTTGTTCACAGCATAATTACGAATGTAATATAAAACTATTACAATAACAAAACAATAAACTCTTCAACTTGTTATTATAACTTATTTTCAAGTTTTGATCTTTCAACAATTTACATTACTTATTACTTAAGGATTTTTACTTTTTACTTAAGGATTAAAGGTATTTTTCATTATACCATAACTATTAGTGTATATTGCGATACTTTTCCGCCATATCAATGCATCGGGTGGTAAAATATGTATTGCATCCTGATATATTGGAATTTATAAATTCATTACGATGCATACATCGAGGACAAGGCAGATCGCGATGTATCGATGCATCGATGAATTGTTACACCTCTAATTGCAATCATGTTATATCTTGTATAGCAATCATGTCATGTTATATCTCATCATGTTATATCTCATTGCAATCATATCATGTTATATCTCATTATTTCCTCATATGATATCTCATTGAAATCATGTTATATCTCATTGCAATCATGTTTTATCTCATTGCAATCATATCATGTTCATTTCATAGCAAGTGAAGAAGGTGAGATATTGTTCATGTTATGAGTAATCTTCGTTCATTTTTTCGTCAGAGCATTTTGAATATAGAATTTCTTCAAGAATGTTCACTTGAATTTAAAAATTGGTTCACACAAAATTTAGAAAGTTAATGTTTATTTATGATTTATATATATTTAATATTTATTATTTATAAGTAATGAGTAATTTGTTATAATACATTTTTCAAATTTGATTGAGAAATTTAGGCAGTTGGGATCAATAGTGGCAAATTTAAAAGCTTTAATACTATGAAATTATTTTGATATGAGAATTGTAAATTTCCTCTCCTGGAAAATGTAAAAGAGGATTTTAACCTCTTCCGTTATTTTGAATATTGTGCAGCATTCTTAAGGGGGTCATAAATGAAGAAATTATGAAAATTCGAGTGAACATGTTTGAAGTTTCTCGTCAGAGTGTCTGTACAAGCATGATATCTGTGTGATGTATTTCAATGTCTTTTCTTATGTTGAAGTTATGGCAGAATCAAAACTGTTTTTATCAAATAATTAGTATTGATCTCAGAAGTTTTGCCCAAGCATGCTTAATTTTCAATCTTTGATGTTTTTTTTATTCTCTTGAAATATTAATTTAATTGATAAAAAAAAAAAATTAAAGAGGAAGATTTTTCCCCCTCAAAAATAATGATTTCGCTTGATCATTTAAAGGCACAATTTGTAAGTAAGGCATATAGATGAGATGAAAAACTTATCCATTAATTAAAACCTTGTCCTGCTAAAATCTTGAATGAATTTGTCCAGTTCCTATCAACGGAACTGTCCATTATCAATCTTTGGGATATTAAGATAAAATATTGAAGTTTGGCAGCTAACATTATTTAGCCATTCTTGATGTTAGGTTTTAAACCCTTTCAAAGCCACATACATGCCATGTGGTCTGTCACATCCATGTGGTCTGTCACATCCACGTGGTCTGTCACATCCATCCATGTGGTATGTCACATCCATGTGGTTTGTTTCATATGGTCTGTCACATCCATGTGGTCTGTCACATCCATGTGGTCTGTCACATTTATGTGGTCTGTCACATTCATGTGGTCTGTCACATTTATGCAGTCTGTCACATTCATGTGGTCTGTCACATTCATGTGGTCTGTCACATTCATGTGGTCTGTCACATTCATGTGGTCTGTCACATCCATGTGGTCTGTCACATTCATGTGGTCTGTCACATTTATGTGGTCTGTCACATCCATGTGGTCTGTCACATTTATGCAGTCTGTCACATTCATGTGGTCTGCCACATTTATGCAGTCTGTCACATTCATGTGGTCTGTCACATCCATGTGGTCTGTCACATTTATGCAGTCTGTCACATTCATGTGGTCTGCCACATTTATGCAGTCTGTCACATTCATGTGGTCTGTCACATTCATGCAGTCTGTCACATTTATGCAGTCTGTCACATTCATGTGGTCTGTCACATTCATGCAGTCTGTCACATTTATGCAGTCTGTCACATTTATGTGGTCTGTCACATTTATGCAGTCTGTCACATTCATGTGGTCTGCCACATTTATGCAGTCTGTCACATCAATGTGTCTGATTCACATTAATGTGGATCTGCCATGTCCTTGCATTCTTCTGTATGTATTACTATACAGTGACCTGGCACATCCATGTGGTCTGACAGTCTCTATACTATTGAATGCTTGATTTAACTATTTAAATAAGGTATTGAAATTTTCTAAAGTAAAATTAGACAATTCAAAAAAATATTCAAAGCAAGACAAGGTCATTTCACAAACTCAGTCATGTTATTGATAAGTACAAAATGAACTGAAAATAGTTTGCTTATAAATAAGTAGTAGAAAAATAAGCTGCTCTTTTATAATATAACAAAGAGTAGGCACTTGTTAACAGTGTTTCACTAATGAAAATATGTGAAAAATGCCGTCTAAAATTAGAACATATCAGGTGAAGAGTTATTTATTAAGTACAGTGTTAATTGGTGTAGTCCCCTGGTGAATGAATTATTAAGCAGACTATAATTACTTTCAGTAGCAAGTGTTTTGAACTCTCATTGTAAACAATTGGTTATTACAATGTATCTGTTTGAAGGAACAAAGATAACTCTTTAATCATCCGGTGTTTATTGAAACACTTATGCTGTTCAAATTATACTGTTATTAGAATAATCGTTAGATAAAATGTTAATTTTTTTTGTGATACATGATTTAAACTTCTTCCATTATTCCTGAGACTCTTATGTTTGAATTTATTTAACTTTCATGATCCTTGAACTACATGTACTCAAGGTTGACTTTCATTTGCTAAAAGAGTTACATGTATATCTGCCCCCCCCCCCCCTTGGCTAAATAAGGGAGAGCATCGAAGTAATCAAGGGGTAGCTGGTTCAGTCCTTGGCCAGGGTGTTCTTTCTCCGTGACAACTGATCTCAGACTAATGGTCATTTGTTTTTTACTGCTTATTTAAAAATTACTGGCATGAGTAGTGGTTCACTTATAGAGTAATTGGTTATTACTGGTTAGTTATTCAGGAAAGCTGGTTATGAGGAATTTTTGTCAGATTTGACCGAATTATTAAATTCAGCATAAAAAAAAATCTAATATAGTTGTGGCCCTTGAATATATATCTGAATTATACATAGGATAAATTTGGTGTCCTTTGGACTTAATTATTTGATGGGACAGAAAGTACCTTTTTGTCACAGAACATAAAAAAAGATTAATAAGATTTCTTTTGTAGTTGTCTTTTTTTGTTGATACTTTTTGAAGAAGCAATTCTTTTCATTTCCACCATAAACTGCAGATTAATAGCATAAAGCTTGTGAGTTTTCTAATCAATTTCCATGTTGATTAAATTTTTGAAAGCCTTTCAGTGATTCTGATTAATCAAGCTTCTGGAAGTGACAAAGCTCCCAGTTACACTGATCAGATAAGGATTTAATGAAGGCTTGTTTTTGTCATAGATTCAATTAACAAGATAAAACATAGAGCTGTTGAAAACATTAGACTATGATTGACAAGTTGGTGATCATATCCCTTATGAATTTCCTCGTGACTTTATATGCTTATTATCTCCCTTTATTGAAATGAATAGCTTGATTGTGCTGGCAAACCTCATGCCTAGTTTAATGCCGAAAAAATAATTTAGTTATTTTAAGTATTAGATTGCACAAAATATTCCTAACACAGCACTTTTATTTAGTTGTATTGTTATTCTTATGCTCTTATGACATCACTTCCTGTATTCGGCTAATTTCAGCATGGACGCATGGTCGACATAGTATGTATTTTATTACTTGTAGAAATCTTGACTTTTCTAGGCCACAACAAAAATTAGACATGTCTCTTTCCACTATTATTTTTTAGTTTCTTTTTAAATATTCATGAATTTTGCTATTTTTTTTACATTATTTATGAGTTCCATCTTTTAAATTTTGCTCATGTTATACACATTTATAACATTTTTTCACTTTTGTTATTAATCAGTTGACACTCTATTATATTGATACAAAAACAACAATTACACATAATTTTAAATATATTTTTAAAACTTGACATGTTATATGGCTGTGTATATTTGCTATATTTCTGTGCATACATGTCATATTATTTTATATACTTGCTATATGGCTGTGTATATAGAATATATGGCTGTGCATGTTATATGACTGTTTATACAGGTTATGTGGCTGTTTATACAGGTTATATATGGCTGTGTATGCACATTATATGACTGAGTATAAACAGTTGTTTGTTTACAAGAGTAAATATTTTTGTTGTGGCCCAAGCTTCCAGTGTGCTTTACTTGCTTTTGTGTTTGAAGCCCCACAGCTGAGCTGAGTTGAATTGAAATGAATAATTGTGATGAAATACACAGATATGTATAAAAGTGCTTTTAAGGACTAGAACATGTATAAAAGTGCTTTTAAGGACTAGAACAAAATAAAATTCCCTATCTTAATCAAGATCTACTGTTGATCGGCCTTTGTATTTTAAATTATTTTAAACTGCATTTATATTGGTTGGCCTGTGCTCTGCATATTTTCTGACAAGCTAAAGAGCTTTTGGTTCATTTAAAAGTAAATGGTCAATACATATATTGCTGGGTTTAGATTCACATATCCATAAATTTTCTTTCCTTTTACATTATTTTAATATGTAGATAATATTAGCTAGAATATTTTTTTCTAAAATTACATATTCAACTTATTATAATAAGAACATGATTCTGGTAGTTTGTTTAACAAAACTTGCACTTTGAAGTTTTGTGTGTGTTTTCATTCACTAACAAGAGTAATAAACCTTGATATATTAGAGAGACACTTGACCTCTGTCATGTAAACAGGTTCTATTTATGTTCAAACAATACTTTATCATAGTAAATGAAATTTACACAATTGCATTTTTTTCTAAAATTTTCTCAATTTAATATTTGGTGTATATATAATCTGGGAAATCTTTCATAAATATATAGACAATTCTCTACAATACCCATATTTATGTTTGGTGACCTTTCTTATTGTAAAATAATTATTGCTAACAGATAAATTGCTGCTTGTTTCTTAGCTTACTAACTTGTCCCTCTTAGATATATTTTTAATATTACATATTGTTACCTATTAATGATAATATATTTTGAGATTTTAAAATTTTAACAAAACAAGTGAGATATTTGAAAATTAAGATTTAACAGGAATATAATAATCTATATTTAAAATTTATTATATTTTACTGCTATATTTGCTGGTAGATTTTTTCTCCATTGTTTGCTTTTCTATATGCTGTCAGTAGAATCAAGGTGAAGGTTACATACAATGTATTAAGCTTCCCCAGAGGTGAAAAATTTGATTATGATGTAAAACTTTTAACAGATATTGCTTATATTATGCAGGCTTCCTTTTAAATGCACCCTTTTTCAAAGCCAATGAAAAGGTGATTATTGTATGAAATGTACTTTTATTTTAACATTTTATTGCATGTTTGTTTGCATGTATTGCATTAATAACAGTATATTATATCATCGTTAATATTTTTATCTTAGATGAAGATGACAGACGAGGAGAAGCTCAAACTTTACGAGGATTTGGTGAGAGCTCGACGCAGTTTGTCCGAGACGCGGCTCCTACACAGGCCCGTTCAGGATAGAGATTCGAGTTTCTTCAAAAACACTCTGAGAAGGTATGGTAACTCAAATGTTTTCTTTTCCAAACTGTGTGTTCTTGTGTTAAGGTAGTCTTACTGTTATGCTGTCCCGCCAACAAATTTCTAACATCAGCCAATATCGTAATAAATTGTTCATTTCCAGAACGTTATTTTTCACAATCTTCGGTATTCAATAAATTTTAACCATTAAAAACCAGAATTTAGTACAAAGTGATAAAGTGTGAGTGATTGCATAAAATTTAATGCCATATATTTTGAAAAAAATATGTTCCGGAAATAACCTATTTGCTACGATATTGACTGATGTTAGAATTTTTTGGCGGGAAAGCATTACAGTATCATTACCTTAAAACCTATGTGTGTCCTTTGACATATTCCTCTAATAACTAAATGTGTGCATAATAACAGAGGATGGCATGGCGGTATGCCCCTATCATAGGCAAGCTATTATAGCTATTTAGATTTTGGAAAATTGATATAAAATTAAATTTTAATTTAGCAGTGATGTACCCATAAATGTACACAAAATTATATCTCTTGTCTTTTCTGCTGAAATAATGGAAAGAGAGAGAAAATCCCAATTTGTTATGTTATGATAAAATCTTTACTCATGTTATTGTAATGCCATAACATAGTTGTATAAAATAACATGTTAAAAAGAAATTCTTGAAGCATGTTTAGATCTGTTATAGATCTATTATAAAGTTCAAGTTTCCTATTAGAGATACTCGATCCAGATGTATTACAAATTGTTTATAAAATATGAACACTCTTCTGCCAAAAAAACATTGATTAGAGATAATATGCGTGCTTATATGCATTTCTCGATTTCCTTAGATATTCAAATCATGAAATGTTTATGGTAAATCAACTAACTGTCTGGCGATTATGTTTAGAGATTATGCTTAGAGATTATGCTGGATTTAGCATAAATGTACACAAGAATTATATCCTCTGTCCTTTTCTGCTGAAATAATGGAATAAGAAAATAACCAAATATCTGTTATGTTACTGATAATCCTTACTCATGTTATTGTAATGCCATACAATTTATAAATACGTGCTTAAAGAATTCTGAGATGTTAAAGATCTGTTAATTAGACTGTTTAAAGTTCAGTTCCGTTAGTAAATCGATCAGAAGTATTAGCAAATTTTTATCAAATTAAGCACTCTTTGCAAAACATGTTAGAGATATACCGTGCTTAATGCATTCGATTCTGAATTCAATCATGAATGTTTGGTAATCACTAAGTCGTGATTATTTTAGAGATACATGCAGATTATGCTTGGAGGGTTTAAATTCTGTCAGTCCTGCTTAAAAACTGTCCATTGACATTTTGCAGTTGATTTCCAGCGATAAATTTTAGATTTCTGTTTACAGTGATGAATAATTTATAACCTACGAGGATGTTGTTTATATATTATTCAGTTTGCTAGTTTCTGATAAGAACTATTGTTTTTCAAGCATGCATCTGCTTTCAAATATAGGACAGTGATCAAAAATTGTAGGTCACTTTAAAAGATTTAGATGTAATTTCCAATATACTTGAAAAGATCACAGTAACTGCTTGGTGCTTTGCCAAATTCTCAGTACCTCAGTGTCATGTTAGATATCAATTATTTTTGCAGTCACACTTTAATATTTTTCGATAAAGTCTGAAAAGTCTGATTACATTAAAAATTTAAAGCAGACGACATTTCAGTATATGCAAGGAAATGGTTAAGTTTACTGCCATATACTTACTGATTGAGTGTAACTGTTAAAGTGTAGCTGACATTCACGAGCAAAGTTTAGTCTCGTTTGCCGATACATTGGCGAGAAAATTATAAAAAAAGAAGACAGAAAGCGTGTTAGTAATTAGTCTAGAGCTGTTGTTTATTGTCAAATTAACAAAGACATGCTGTTAGGATGTCTACAGTGATCATCTTTTTGTTGCAACCTCATGTTCTACTTAAATTAGTTTTTTGAAGAAAATTAAATTCAAAGCAAATTTTTGTATGGGAAACAATACTTTACATGACATCCCCGCATATATGTCTTACAGAATCACAAAGTCAAAGATGGAGAGATTACGTAGCTGTTATGCTGGCGGAAATATCGGCATGTTTGACGTAAGTTACTGGTCGTATAGTAAAGTGGCGCTCAAGCAGTCTTTGACGGCCATGCAAGAACCGGCAGTGGAGGAGCTCGCGCTCAAGGTCTTCAACTCTATACTGATCTACTCCGGAGTTATTGAATCAGGTTTGTACTGAAAGACACGTACAAATTTAACAGTATATGTTACCAAAACATTGTTTTATTACTTGAATTTGATATAAAGAATGGGATATATTCTACTGTTGAAGCATTAACTTGGGGCAATTAAATATACCAATGTGACCAGTACAGACCAAGATCAGCTGTGCATGTCATTCCTTATGTTGGTTTGCACGTTCGTATCAGTCAACTTGTGCAATTGCCCTTTTAAATGAAAAATGTTTTTCCTGTCAGATATGGAAGTTTTAAGAATTTCACAAGTAAATGTTTTTTGTAACCAAGTAAATTAGATAATTTATTCTTGAAATTTTTTAACTAGTGACTAGTCATAAAAATTCTTATGGCTTTCTTGTGTCTTGAACAATAACAGTGAAATTCAAGATTCAGACTCATAGGGGTAAATTATATTAAAGAAATCCTACTAACGCTTGCTAAAAACTTTACCTGTGTGTCGTGTCAAAAATGAGCTGATAAACTGTCATCATTCTGTGACACATTTGTGAGTTTTCAAGTCACTGTGTTGAACTACTTTCTGCTTTGGGATTTAGTTTGAAAATCTTGATTATTTAATTTTGAGAGACTTTATTTCTAGGGGAGTATGGTACTGTAGATCATACTGAGATGATACAGACTGTTGTACAGAAATGCCAGGAGAATGAGGCTCTCTGTAACGAATATTATCTTCAACTAATCAAACAGACCACAGATCATCCAGGTACACTTGATTGATGTTTTGTAAATTTTATGAGATGATGAATTAAATGTTATGAATTGCATGGAAAATTAATGTGTAGCTGATCATGTAATTTTTGTGTACATTTGTATGCTAAACAATTTTTAAAGGTTCATTTGCCCCCAGAAATGCTTTAAATTTTTTTTCTCAGAAGCTTTTTATTTTGATGACCTGTTATAATTTCAGAAAGTTACTCTTTGGCCAATTTCCTGAACCATCTTTTGTTTGTCACCTTTTCGCAATAAGTACATTTCTAGTGATTAAGTATTTTGTATAGAAGTCAAAATACTTTTTTGTTCACATTCTTCTTCTTTTAAGACAAATTTATCATCACTACTTTCTTCAGGTGATAAGCATCTAAGGTGCTCTAAAATCATTATTTACATGTAACAAAACTCATGTTTTCCCTTTCCAAAGAAGGAACATTTATTTGTTTTTGAGGCATAATGTGCCTTTGTATATAAATTATAGATCCCAACAGTAATGTTAATCGACGTAACTGGCAGTTGATGTGCGTAGCAACGAGCTGTATGATCCCTAGCAACAGTAGAGTGATGAAATACCTAAACTGTCATCTGAAAAAATGTTCCCTTGACACCACTACCGAGGAAGGAAAGTTTGCTAGATTCTGCAATAAGGTGATACATTGTTTTGTGTATTTTTCTTAATTAGCATATTTCATACCATTCATAAAGTACATCTGTGGCCAAGTGGTTAAGGTTGAATTATACCTGAAGTGGTCCTACGTACCTGAATAGATACAGATACAGGTTGTTGACTTTACACAGTTGCCCTTACAGCAGAGGGTTCGCTTCCGCCCACCAAGAGAAAAAAAACAACCATCAATCAATTGTTAAGTTAAGATTACATAAAGAATAAGTCTTAAATATGAGTGGCTATATGTAGACATTTAAGAAATTCTATTTAAAAGCTGATTTTTGATACAAAGGATTCTTTGCAGAGAAGTTCTTGGCTATTTTCAGAGAAAACAATTCATGTGACATACTGTTACAAAATCCTGGATCACTTGTTTGGTATCAACCAACCAATGCATGATTGAATATTAAAACTGTTACAAACAAGTAAAAAAAAACTAAAAGAAATCACACAGTGTAAATAAAAACACTATACCATGTCTTGCCATATACAATTCAATATGTACCATGTCTTTACAATTACAAGCACCTGCTACTGTCAATTATTGCTACTGTCAATCACTGTACCTTTCTTGTGAGCCTATATATTTTAACTTGTACCTTTCTTGCAATAACAGAATGTAGTCTAATTTATTCACTGTGAATCAGAAAAATGATTTGCAAGAAAGATCTGACAACCAAAACATTGAAAATCCTGTTGAAAATGCATCGAATATGTCAGACATGCTTAATATTGATATCCTTCAAGCTGTCAAAATCCTGCAATTTATGTGAAATGTATTAACATATTTGTACTTGTTTTATTAACCAGGTTTTCCGAAGGAAAAAACTGGTTATTAGATTGAGGTATGTCGGCGGGCGGACGGATGGGCGGGCGGGCGTAAACAATTTCTTCTGTGCGCAACTCCTTCTACATTTCTCAACGGATTTTGACCAAACTTTCACAGAAGCTTTGTCATAAAATTGTTGGGGTTTTGCGATTGGATAATATTTAATCTAATTAAGGCCCTTTGCTTTATTTTCTTATATAGAATATATAGTGAACAATTTCTTTCGTGCGCAACTCCTCCTACATTTCTCAACGGATTTTGACTAAACTAATTATGGCCCTTTGTTTTTTTCCTTATACAGAATATATAGTGAACACTTCTTCTGTGGCAATTCCTCCTACATTATTCATGTTTTACATTGCACATAGTTACATTGTTTGTTGCTTGTATTTGTATTTCAAATACAACATATTTATCTACAATGGTGATAATTGAAAACCTGGTTTCGTGGCATTGCCATGTTTCTTGTTTCAGTGTTTAACAAGAACACAGGAAAAGAAGAAGCGAAAATTCCCGCCATCCACGAAAGAGATAGACTGTGTAATATCTCGTAAACCAGTCAACGAGAAGGTGTTCCTGCTGAATGGGGATCATAGAGTGATAGAGTTTGATTCCGCAGCTGTATGTGGGGAGGTAGGTAGAATTATTTTCAACTTTTGATTTAAAGCTATAACAACTCTTCCCCTTTCCCTTCCCTTTCTTTTTAACAGCTGTCTTGCTTGAACTGAAAGTAATAAGCCTTTGCCACCAGTATTAAGTATTGGCCAGCATACACATACAAGCAAGGCTTACAAGGCTATATACTGATGGCTGAATAACTTAATTTTATCTTGATACTGGACAGTTCCAGATATAGAAGGTGGACAAGTTCATTAAAGAAATTCAGCAAGTAAAGGGTACACTGTTTGATAATAACCATTAAACATTTATATCCTTTCTCCTTCATTAAAAAAGTGGTAGTTGGAACTGTTAAGCAGTCTGTACACATATTTGTTTTTGTTTCTTTCTTTCCATCCATAATCTTGATATTTTGAATACTTCATTGAAAGCTTAAAGCTTTTTTAATCATGAATAAATTCCTATTTGGATTATTTTAGCAGAGTTATTTCCCATTGACTGATTCATCTTCACTTAACAGTCATTTGTTATTTACAGACAGGTCACATGGTCACCTATGCAGGATCATAGATCTGCCAATTTTTTATCATACAAAAGTTGTGTTACAAATACTGTGTCTAAAACATGATTTTCATATTCAATGGATTCAAAGTGATTTATTCAGAAAAGTCATCAAATGCTATTGCCCCTCAGAGACTAACTCTTTCTGCAAGTTTGTTTGAAGCTTCAATATAAAGTTTCAGACATAATAACAAATCTGTGAGAAATGAATGGCAGGCCTTCATGATATCAGGTTATGTTTAGGATATAAATTTTGTTGGAAATAGATTCAGCTTGTATATTTTTCCATCGAGTTTCAAATTTCGTAGATAGCACCAGGGTATCAAGTTAGTAATAATATATTCTCACGGGGTTAGATGAGCATGTTGCAGAGATAAATGTATTCAATAGAAATTGATCAGATTTTGTTTTTCATTTATGAATGTGATTTTGGTGATGTTAAGGTTTAAAATTGCATTTGTTTACCATTATTTATGGCTGGTTTCCTGTAACGTCTAGGTTACATGATTTTATAAAGTATTTTGATGACTGAAACCAGAAGTGATTAGATTCTTGTCACCAGTATAGACCCAGGCCAGTCTAAATATTTGTTTATTTAAAAGACACACCAGCATGTTAAGGGTTAAAGAAAGGATAGTAATGGAAGTTCGAATAATGAACAATTGTTTCAATACATCAGTCTGTGTATGTGGTGCATGTATAGAGAATCTGTATTGTAAGGAATGTACTTATTGAATTTATTTAATTGAGTGTATTAAAGTGCTCTTCTGTTTGGTGAGTATCTAAACTTTTACCTGATCTAGTAATATTTTATAGCCCTTCCATAGTTTCAGAACACATTTAAAGGGTGAACATGTATAATTATTAGGAATAGAGTGTAAATTCATCACATTATTAAGTGGGGGATGGTAAACAATTTGTTAGTATTGTTATGAACCTGCAAAATATTGAAAAATAACTTATCAATTTTTAGTTGAAAGTGGTGTATTTTGATCATTACAGGTGTTAAAAACAGTTAAAGCAAAGATAGGAATGAGGTCAGATGCTGAATGTTTTGCTCTGTATGAGGTCACTAGTGGATCTTCAGGTATAGTTAACCTTTTTTCCCCTTTACCATTGGTTCGGATGTTGAAGACACTAGCCAGGAAGCTTAAAAATCTTCATTTGTTCAACATAGGTTCCCACCTTAGCTTGAAATAATGTGCGAAAGAAGCCATGTTTTTTTTTTGTCATAAGTTATACAATCATGTATACTTCTTATTGATAAAATTACCAACTTTCCCCCATTTGAATATTATAATTTATTAGAACTAAAAGAAAGTGCTTAGTTCAGAATTGAAATAATAGGATATGTTATTTTATTTGATTTTTAGTTCTGATGTACAAATACTGTAAGATCCTATAAATGTAGTTGATCATTTATTATTTTAGAACGATGTATGAATGCAGACGAGAGAATGTCGGACACATTGAGTAAATGGGAGAGGATTTCTAAAGGTTCTTCTACACGAGAAATGAAGCTGGTCTTCAAGGTATTGTTTCACATATAATATTATGCTCTGTGATTATTTACGGGAATTCCTTGAGTGCGAGGGTATATAATTGTTTACCCTGTATCAGATAATATTTTATCTCATACCTGTGCGGCTGTTGCGACTCAGTAAAAATGGTACTGCATTGCCATTCATATATTTTGACATGACGTTATAAAAACATGCTGTAAAGACGCACTGACTGTTAGTGTCACACTATAGGCGCGTCAATGAAAAATGATTCTTTTACACTTTATACAGTCTTTATTTTGGGTATGTGATAAATAAAATAAATATATTCATGTAAGTTCATAAGTGAATTTATTTGACTAGTTGAATAAAATGATATTATTATCCTCTTTATACTTGAAAGAAGATTTATATGAATATTTGTTATATTTTTCCATTTCAGAAACGTTTATTTATAGAGCCATATCTGAACCCAATTGACCCTGTCGAATGTGACCTGGTGTTCCATCAGTTGATAGAAGATGTGTTTGAACACAGAGTTCCCTTAACTCCACAGGATGCTGTAAGTTTATACAGGCTTTGTTTCTCATTTTATTTTAAATATATTATATTCGTAGCTCTATAAAAACAATAGTAGGGTTGTTATTTTATGACTAGCATTTGAGTCATTGACCTCAGGTCGTGTTACAGTAACAGAAATTGAATTATTTTAGGACGTTGTATTAAAAATAAAAAATACTACTTTTCTTATGCAGTATTATGAAGTAGAATTTATAAAGGAATGAAATAAATATTGAATATTTAAAAAGTAATTCAAACCTAATACCATGTGTCATGCCTTACAAAATAATGTCTGTTTTATAATTTTCTCCGATCATGTTGAATTGCTACAGTCAAGTCAGGTTTGTTATCAAAGGAAGTTAATTGTAGATGTACGCTAGTCAAAGAGTGATAACTGCTTCAGAAACTTCTTACAATGTTGACATTTTAGATGTAGTAATAAAATTTGTTTATTTTTGTACAGGTGCGTCTTTGTGCCTTAAAAATCCAGTCAGAAAGTGAAGAAATCAAACCTGGTGATATTGATTATAGGTATGTGATATGAATGTACAAAAATAGAAATTTCTTGAACTTTATTGGTATCTTTTACTTCATAAGGATGCTAAAAATAGGCTAAAATAGATTTTCTTACTTTTTCTTACAGTAAGATTAACTTTTTTTAGTTTGTTCATGTGGCATTTTGGGGAGCATCTGTTATTGGTTTTAGTCATACTGACAACTTATATCAATATGCAGGGGACAGCCAGGACAGTATTTGTATGATCCGGATCGATATTTGATATCATTATAATTGACAGTAATTTCTTGTTAAATGCTACATGTATAGTTGAATAACTTGGAATATTAATACTGCTATAATATACAAAACTGAAAACATGAGAGTCATAAAGTTGTGACAAAGTTATATTGTGTTTATGACTTTATGCATATTCCCTATTAAATAGTTATTGAACTTGGTCAAGACTGATTGTTTTAGATATGCCAACCGTTATAAAATATGCAGATTATGTTAATATTTATACTTATCTATGGCAAGATTATCACTTAAAAGGGGTTAAAATATGTGTGTGTGTTGTGGATATAAATGCACGTTAGGATGTCATGGGGTGAGAAAAATGTACAGCCTGACCAGGACTCGAAACCAGGACCCTCAGAATACCGTACTGCAGCTCTATCGACTGAGCTATCTGGCCGCTTACACACTATCTCCCTTAAATAGTGAACAGTTCTGAACCTTGACAAGGGTATACATGGGACATTGATATATACAGTACATAATAATAAAAGCTGGCAGGAACAAATGCAGACATAAGGAAATACATTAATGTATATTGATACAGACAATATCAATACAGTTAAACCTGTGATAAAGACCTCTTCTGAATAATGATAACCCTGCAAATAAAGGCCACTTTTTGATTACCCTTTATTGATAAAATGAAATAAAGTAACCTTGAAATAAAGACCACTCTTCTATAATGACCATTTTTTGTCTCTTTCATGGCTGTTTTTTTCACAGGTTTGACTGAATGGAGTTTATTGTAGTTTAAGTTAATATAAAAAACACACTATTAGAATTATTTTATTTACATATATGTTACAGGTGAAAAAAACAAGTTAATTTTTAGCTTGCTATTTAGAATTTTATTAGTGTAAATTGCATATATTTTACAGTTCAGTGATGCGTATCTTACCACGAGACATGAGGCCTCATGTAAGAATAGAAGATATAGTGATACTACACAAGTCGTTGTCAGATTTTGACGCCAAGTCAAGCTGTTCTACAGTTTATAGAGGTCCTGAAAGCATGGCCTCTGTTTGGTGCTTCCGTTTTTGATATTTCAGTAAGTATTTTTGTCTGTTTATTGTATGTTAATTTTTTTAGCTTCTTAAAGTGACATTATGTCCATCAAAGGGTATAAAGTGAGTGAACAGGTGAAAGTCTAAATAAGTTTGCATTTTGCCATAATTCCTTTCAATTTTATAATTCTCATGATCGATACAGAACTCAAATGACCCAGGGAAATTTCTATAAATATCCACAGGAATTAACCTGTAATGTTCAATTAATAAAAAGAGTGGGACAGTCTTTTTATATTTTAAGCAGATTTGTATTTTATCCTAAACATTTTCCAATACCATTTGTTAATCAATCACCATTCTAACAATCTTTTGAAATATACATTTTGTATAGTCATTTCAGTTCAAGTTGACAATGAAAAAATGAGCATAATGTCACTTTAATGCATCTAATTGTAGGGTTGGGGTTTTTTACATAGTGATGTGTCAGATCCTGAGTTATCTGTCTGTTTGTCCATAGAAATCTCTCTTGCTTAATACAATGAAACCAATATGTAGATCCAGTTTTCCTACTTCAATATTGTTTAAACATTGTATACAGTCTTTTGACTTCTCAGTATATATGCAGGTCTTCAAAATACTACCTTTTTTTGATGTATTTCAAAGGTAAATAAATGGGATACTTTAATATAAAAAGAATTATGGAATAAAAATTAATGAGGTATTTTGATCTATATTTCAGCAATCCTATACATCCACTTTGCCAAAGACACTGCTCCTAGCAGTTGAACAACGTGGAGTACACCTGCTAGAATGTAAAACATTTGTAAGTACGATTACTCTTTATCATGGATTAGCATAATAAAGAACCAATGACTTTCATGTTCTTGGTATCAACTTTTCCCTGATTATTTTGAAGTGTAAAGTTTGATGATTTTGGCTTTTTCTAGTGCAGAATAGTTGGCCCTTTCTCTTAATTGGCTTAATGTATGGCAGACTATTCACCTGTCTTCATAATTGACCTTGATTTCAAAGCAGAATGTAACCTGTTTTTCCACTTTATATAACAATTTTATTCAACATTTTTATTCCCCATTTAGACTGAACAGGAAAAGCACTTGTAAAGGAACTTATCTAAAAATATTATGACATAAATTATTATTTACATAATTTATGTATAGAAAAAAATGGCTTAAAAGAAAGCGTTCTTGTATTAAAATAAGTTATTAAGATTTTTGACATGTTATATGGCACAATATAAACAGTTGTTTGGTTTTAGGAATGACCATATAACCTAATGAGAATCTTTATAATGAATTTATGATAAACGCACTTCCTTTATTTTGAGGAAAAAAAGATGAAATAACTTCATAGATTGTTACACATTATGTCATTTCTATGTTACAGAAAGTGATACAGTCATATGAGTACACGGACGTGTTACACACGAGTCCAGCATTGAACAGTATTATGATGATAGTTGGCGATGTTGCCAAGGGGACCAAATACATGTTCCAGACTACACATGTAAATATACACACCAGTCTATATTGCATTTCTCTGTTGGTTATAAATAGAGGATATTGAATGTGTTTACATTCAATACTAAATTTATTGAACAAGTTGTATAAAATTATATTATGCAAGACTTTGGTGAGCATAATTATTTTATTCAACGAGTTCAATAAAAACATTGATAAACTAACACGAATATATTATTCTGTTTATCACATACCCAAAAAAAGTAAAGTTTTTCATTGATGTGCTTGTAGTATACTATAACTATTTTAAGGGCGTCTTTGCTCTGTTTGTATTACTCAACTGACGTCACGTCAAAATATATGCACAGCCATGCTATACCATTTTTACGGTCACAAAAATGGGGACGGTATGTGATCAAGTGGACATATAAACTATATAATCAGAAATGTTTTTGAGGGATTAAATTTTGCAAATTGAAGAGTTTATGCTCACGAAGTGCTTAGGTGTTGTATGAATTTGATTGTTTAAATTTGCAAATATATAGCCTCACCAATTAATCTGAAATGTTGATTTTGCGGAATTTTATCAAGATGCTGTGAATGCAAGCTTTTAGGTCAGTGAAATAAAAGTAGCACCGTTTTGGCTTCAGTATTTGCTGGTAGCATTCCATAGGTTCTATTATTATAAAACCAAAAGATTAAAATATATTTTCATTACAGGCAAGCCAAGTAGCACACCTTATCAAAGAATACACAGAAGAGTTGAAGAATCGCTCATTGATAATTCCCCCGCAGAAAATGGATGCTTCCATGATACAGAAAGCTTGTAGATCAAGTGTTTTTATAGATTCCTATGATGAAGAGCTCTTGTCGGCCATGTTGATTACGAACAAAACGTAGCAGATTCAGAGTAGAGACTGTGATTTGGCGGTGATGTTATTTAAGAAAATATTCTTGTCATTTTATTTGTGTGTTATCTATTCATTTTACATAATTTTTTTTAGAATTTGAGAAGTTAGGAGGACATTTTTGCCAGTACTTCCTAGTGCTAATTCAGATATGTTAAAGGTTATTAAATTGTTAATATTCGAATGAAGTATAACGGCCATTTATAGATTCCATCATACATTCTCATTTTATTTTTTGTTTTCTAAAGCCATGACAATAAAATAACTTGTTTTACCTTAGGTAGTAATTTCATGATGTGCATAAAATTTGTCAACTTAAAAATCACTAAAAGAATTATCACTTTTGAAAAAGGTTGCATTTTGTCATTATACACTGCTGGTGATAGTAGGTGGTATAAATTTATATGGTTGATATTTAAAATCAGGGCAAAGGTCTGGTTCCCAGACTGATACCATGATTTGCAGCATAATATATGATATTAGATGGAGTTTGAATCTCAAATAGTAAACCAGTCAACAGTCTGTCTCAGTCATGCATATTAGATGATTTTTATACAGTTTATGTCATCTGAATGTAAGACTATTGTACATATCTGTTTAAAGCAGCAAGCCTCCAGGTTCATGCTAATTTTCATGAAAATTTTGAAAATGATTTTAAAAGTAAAATATTTTGAAGTGATCAAAGAAAGTCATTAACACATTGCAAAGAGCACTCACAATCCATGTAAATTACAAAAAAACCGAGGTCAAAATATGTAAAATTGACCCTTACTGCATTAGTCACGCAGTAGAAATATGCTGATGAATACTGCAAAAATGAGTTATTAATCTCGCATAACATGTGAATTATTACATGAATCTTGAATCATTTTACTTTTCTTTAAATCTTAGGACATTTTTCTCAAGTTTGATCTCCTTGAAATATTTTAGCAGATTTGGAGGCATGCAGCGTGTAAGCAGTAATAGCAAATATGATAGTCTATCTCTGACCAGTCAAATTTTACTTTTTTTCTGCCATTTTTATGATCAAATGATCAAACTTTGCTATTTGTATTTATATGAATTTCAATGAACTGCAAGTGTTTTTTTTATGAATAATGGATAATATTTGATGATTGTGGGTTAACACGTTAAATAATGCAAGTCAAAAAATATTTTCTGGATAAATGAGTGATGGCTACATACATGTATTACCAGTCACTACTTGTGCTGTTTTCTTATCATCCAAGTTATCATGTTTTCTAATATTGTATAGGGTAATTGGCAACGTGAAAAAAAAATTCCTGACTCAGTGATGATTAAAAATAAAGCATTTGTTAATATGTTAATAAATATTATTAATTTATTGTAAATCAGAAAATAATAAAGCATTATGAGATTAACAAATTTTTGCAAACAAAATTTAACCAAGAAATATCAAAAGCTGAATGAAAAATAAGCAATTGGTATGAAAAAAAGTTATTTCAACATTTGCAATTCATTGATAATTCCATTTTAATTGTTTCTATTTGCAACCTGGGACATAAGATTATGGGACAAGCAACTGGAGATTAGCTGTGCTAACAATTTGTTTCTTTTAATTTAATCAGGCACATGCTCCACAGACTTACCATATTAATTGTTGTGTAAGGGTTTATTTTGTCTTTAGTAAATGATAAGAGAAAATAAGCCAACTTGCATAACATTTTAAAAGGTCCCTTTTGAATTTAAATGGACTTGATATTGTGTTAGGAGAATTTCTCAATGAAATTATTTATAGTAACAAGTATATGATTAAAACATTAAAGTGCTAAACTTGTTATTTAGTGGACTGTGCAGGCTGGCCTGGTGCTAATATACTGGTGGTAAAGGGTAATCACTTTTAGTTTCAACAGGTTATATGCTTATCAAGTTGTCAATAAATGTAATCAGGAACATGGAAAATATGGGTTTTTCCAAGCTAATTCACTGGTACAATCAAATTTTTACAGTCATAGCTTCACTGTACACATCTATTGGATGTAAACATAAGACAGCTTATCTTGTTGGTAGTTGCTTAACCCGCTACTTATGTCTCAGTGTTATTTTGTATTGTTATTCCTGTTTCTTTCATTTTTATGTTTTTGATATTGTATGTACATTATGTGTTTGAAAGTGCAATCTTTATTATTTTAAATTGTAGAATATCTATGCAATTGTTAGCTTATGTACTTTTTCTGTGTAGCCGCCATTCAAAATATTTCAAAATGTAACTCTTACTACATGTGCTATGATGGTTAAACTGCTCAATAAAAATAAACTTAATATCAAAAGCATTTTCTGATTGGCTTGCTTGTAATAACTTACGCATTTTGTAACCAATGAAAATGAACTGTTTTCTATCTAATGCTCAATTTGAAAGCTATGCTGCGATTGGCTGGATTGAATCTAATGTAAACCAATGGTAGCAAAGAGCCAATTGTTATCTTTGATATATTCAGCCAATCAAAATACTTGTTGTATTTTGTGATAGAATTATGAATTTATCTCTATCTTTTTGTTAGCTGAAATGATTAAACACTTAAGGAAAGTCGGAAGCCATTGGTTCTTAAGATTTATCATATACATGTAATAAATACATAGTATTTTAAGGTAATTTAGAGAAAAAAAAAGAATTAACAAAATCTTTTTATATACATGCTGGAACTTAATATTAGTATATTGTATCCCAAATACATGTCATGTCTTTCAAAATAACTTTCTCTGATTAAAATTTCATTTTTAGATTAACAGAAAAATTGTTGTAATTGCCTTTTCATGATAGTTTACACCTTGGCATAATTCAGTTTAGCTAAATTAAGTAGTGCATAACAAAGGTTTATATGATGTCATGTTTTATTCATGATGTCATATTTTATTTATGATGTCATACTTTATTCATGATATTACTGGTTAAAGATATGAAGCTCATGGTGTTTTTGTTAAACGGGTCTTGTTTTATATATGCTTTAAAACCTTAACCAATAATGCAACTTTTACATTAAGCTCAGCTTATTATTGTGCTTTAAGCGTGTAGATTTGTCAAAAGTTAAGCATAACATAGAAACCTGACCATGTACATTTAATAAGAAAGCCTCTGTTGATAAATTTATAGCTGTAATTTTATATATTTGGTTAATTAAATGAAAATTTGTTTTTTAGACAAAGAGGCATATCATTTAACACATTAAGCCATGACAATACCTTGCCATTTCAGACATTGTTACGTGTACATGAAAATACCCGGTACTATGTCATTACAATCATTGATGTGAGAATACCTTGTCATTTTACACACTATTGCATGAAAATTTCATACTGTTTTATAAAATACAACATAAAAGTTGAGTGTTGTTTTATACACCTTTCATGTAGAAATACTACACTGGATCTTTTTACACATCACATAATGAAAAGATTTGAATTCAGATATTTTTGTGACTGTTAAGGAAATAAGGATTTAAATGTGTTTTTTATGATAATAATATAATGACAGAAGAAATGAAAATATTGTATACATGTGTGTGTAATTTTCCACTAGTCTCATTTTGCTAGTCGTTCAAAATTTCATTTTTTTTTACATTTCTGTATTTGTAAGTTTTTTGTCTGCATTCAATAAAACATCTGATAATCTGTAAATTTTTCATAATTATCTTAGGCTATATAATGTAAAAATACAAACATGATTGAAGACTTGATTTTTATTTCTTTTGTAATTACTGTTAGCTTGTAAAATGCCAAAGTTTCAAATCAAAGATTGGTTACCAGTCAAGAAATAGAAGTCAGCCATTGGTTGATTTTAAATCAGTATGCAGAATCAACCATTTAGACGCAAGAGATTCAGACTGATCCACAACCTCAAGTTTTTTTTATATATATAAGTCTTATTTTATTTTATATATTAACCACGTGTTTGTGGAATGCTGTTTTATAGTAATTTTATTGTAAACTGTTTACAAGGTATGTAGATTTATGTTCCTATGATTGTATGCTAAGCATTCAAGTGATAAGATGTAATTTAATTGATGCAATATATAACTTAATAAATCCTTTTGTATAAATCAAGTTTAGTTGCTTTGTTGTTTTTCTCATGTTCTTAATGGTTGAGTTTTCAGTCACATCAAACACTGTAAAAGTCATAGGGCAACATTTTCCTCTATGCAGGTGAAGGCGGAACATAGTCGTCAGCCTTTACATGAATTAGTTTGGGTCATATTCGTGTTTTGCAAAACAGTAAACTAAAATGCTGTTCTTGGGCAGGTCTTTTATGAAAGCTTTAGCTTATAAAACAACGAGTGATATCTTTTGGTCAAGGTTTGATTCTCCTGCAGTTGTCCCATACATGAAGAGATTTCTTGTAAATTGGAGATCTTTTGCTTCATAACCCACAAGACCTTAATTTAAGTTTTCTATTCCTACTGCCACCCTATACCGGTACATTCCCCACCAATATAAATCTTTTATTGTAACATATTATACTTCGCTGACATTTAACTTAACAATGTGATGTAAGATAGTTGTTGGAAATACATATTCATGTACATCAACAAAACAACAATCTGTATTTTCTTTTACAATCCTGCATCAAAAAAAAAAAAAACTAAACAAGAGAGGCTAACCCTTGATTTTTTACTGTTACTATAAACAAACAAATCTTACAAAGAAATTAAAAAAAAAAACAAGCACTTTTTTCCTTTTTATTTAAATAGGTCTGTCTAGTCACACTTGCTGTTTTGTCCCAAGTTTGAATTATTTCCATAAATAAATGAAAAAGTTAAGAAAATTTAAGCAAAATTCAATCATCTGACCCAGAAGGTCGAGGTCATTTAAAGGTCAAGGTCATGCTTGAATTATTCAGCATGTCCGTTTCACAAGTGTTTTTTTGTCAACGTATGAAATAAATCTGAACATAAAAACAAACTTATGACACGTTAACTGAAATTCAATAATTTACCCTTGAAGGTCAAGATCACTTATGCACAGTTAGCCATTGTAAAATGAACACTACATACTTAAAAAATGTGGAATGAACACGAGATTGTGATGGTTTAGAGGGTCTTCTCACAGCAATATAAGGCTCAAGAACTACATGTAGTTACCGCAAGGATAATGATAGCAAGAGGCCCGCATAAAATTATCGCGTTTTGGACTGGCGAGTAGTGGTTTAAGTGAAAAATAGACTAACAAATTTCGTAAAAAAAAACATCCATATTCTACAGCCAACCATTACACACTTTGTCTGATTCCGTTGCAGATACGTTTTTGTACAACCTTGGAGGGCCTTCTTTGCACAAAATGAGGACCAAAACCTTAAACCAAATAAAATGTCTCTGAGATTTCCGAATGGCATGGTCATTTTCTGGACCGGCGTTTTGTTCTTTCCCAATATAAAGTGCATAATTTTTCTTAAAATACATCATATTCTAGAGCCAACCTTTAAAACATCAATTGTCTAATTTTGATGTCGATTCGTTTTTGTACATCTTTGAAGGGTCTTCTTTGCAGAAAATGAGGACCAAAGCCCTAAACCAAGTAATATGTCCGTGAGACTTCCGCATGGCATGGTCATTTTATGAACTAGCGTTTTGTTCTTTCTCAATATAAAGTGCATAATTTTTCTTAAAATACACCATATTCTAGAGCCAACCGTTCAAACACCATTTGTTCGATTTCGATGACGATTCGTTTTTGGACATCTTTGGAGGGTCTTCTTTGCACAAAATGAGGATCTATTCATGCAAATTCGAGCTCTCTCAAGCGCGTTTTTGTCACACACACCAGAACTTATTTACATTTATATGAAGTTGGAAGACCACTGTTTGAACGATTGGCTCTAAATAATGATTTTTTTCTAGAAAATCTATACACTTTATATACAGGAAGAGCAAATCGCCGGAAAATGACCTAGTCATGCGGAAATCTCCTGGAAATGTTCATTAGGTTACGGCTTTAACACTTAAAACATGTAAAGAAGACCCTCCATAGTTGTACAAATTCAAATCAGCAAAGGAATTGGTCAAATGGTTTTGGGATGGTAGGCTCGTGAAAATGATGTTTTTTTACGAAATTTATATAGAAAAAGAACAAATCGCCGGTGCAAAAAATGACCAAGCCATGCGGAAATCTCCTGGATATGTATCTTGGGTTACGGCTTTAAAACTTAAAACATGTAAAGAAGATCCTCCATAGTTGTACAAAATCAAATTCGCAACGGAATTGGTCAAATGGTTTTTGAAAATAATGTTTTTTACGAAATTTTTATACACAAAGAACAAATCCCGGTACATAAAATGACCAAGCCATGCGGAAATCTCCTGGAAATGTTCCTTTGGTTACGGCTTTAAAACTTAAAACATGTAAAGAAGACCCTCCATAGTTGTACAAAATCAAATTCGCAACGGAATTGGTCAAAAAGATTTGGGAAGGTAGGTTCGTGAAAATGATGTTTTTTACGAAATTTACAAAGAGAAAGAACAATCAGGTGGTGCAAAAAATGACCAAGCCACGCGGGAATCTCCTGGACATATTACTTGGGTTAAGGCTTTAGGCCTTTTCATGTGCAAAGAAGACCCTCTCAAAATGTACAAAATTGAATTTGAATTGGAATAGGTCAAATGGCTTTTGAACGGTGGGCTCGTAAAATTGATGTTTTTTTTCCGAAATTTATATACAGAAAAAGCAAATCGCTGGAAAATGACCTAGCCATGCGGGAAATCTCCTGGACATGTTCCTTGGGTCAGGGCTTTGGGCCTTTTCATGTGCAAAGAAGACCCTCTCAAGTTGTACAAAATCAAATTTGCAACGGAATTGATCAAATGGTTTTTGAATGGTTGGCTCGTGAATATGATGTTTTTCCCGGAATTTACATAGAGAAAGAAGAAATCGCCGGTGCAAAAAATGACCAAGCCACGCGGAAATCTCCTTAGACATATTACTTGTTTAGGGCTTTAGGCCTTTTCATGTGCAAAGAAGACCCTCTCAAGTTGTACAAAATTGAATTTGAATTGGAATAGGTCAAATGGCTTTTGAATGGTGGGCTCGTAAAATTGATGTTTTTTCCGAAATTTATATACAGAAAAAGCAAATCGCTGGAAAATGACCTAGACATGCTGAAATCTCATGGACATGTTCCTTGGGTTAGGGCTATAAGCCTTATCATGTGCAAAGAAGACCCTCTCAAGTTGTACAAAATCAAATTTGCATCGGAATTGATCAAATGGTTTTTGAATGGTAGGCTCGTGAATATGATGTTTTTCGCGAAATTTACATAGAGAAAGAATAAATCGCCGGTGCAAAAAATGACCAAGCCACGCGGAATTCCCTTGGACATATTACTTGGGTTAGGGCTTAAAATTAGGCCCTTTTCATGTGCAAAGAAGACTCTCTCAAGTTGTACAAAATTGAATTTGCATTGGAATTGGTCAAATGGCTTTTGAACGGTAGGCTCGTAAAATTGATGTTTTTTCCGAAATGTATATACAGAAAAAAGCAAATCGCTGGAAAATGACCTAGCCATGCGGAAATCTCATGGACATGTTCCTTTGGTTAGGGCTATAGGCCTTTTCATGTGCAAAGAAGACCCTCTCAAGTTGTACAAAATTGAATTTGCATTGGAATTGGTCAAAAGGCTTTTGAACGGTAGGCTCGTAAAATTGAAGTTTTTTCCGAAATTTATATATAGAAAAAGCAAATCGCTGGAAAATGACCTAGCCATGCGGAAATCTCATAGACATGTTTCTTGGGTTAGGGCTATAAGCCTTATCATGTGCAAAGAATATCATTTCAAGTTGTACAAAATCAAATTCGCGACGGAATTGATCAAATGGTTTTTAAATGGTAGGCTCGTGAATATGATGTTTTTCCCGAAATTTACATAGAGAAAGAACAAATCACCGGTGCAAAAAATGACCAAGCCACGCGGAAATCTCCTGGACATATTACTTGGGTTAGGGCTTTAGGCCTTTCATGTGCAAAGAAGACCCTCTCAAGTTGTACAAAATTGAATTTGCATTGGAATTGGTCAAATGAATTTTGAACGGTAGGCTCGTAAAATTGATGTTTTTTTCCGAAATTTATATACAGAAAAAGCAAATCGCTGGAAAATGACCTAGCCATGCGGGAATCTCCTGGACATGTTATTTGGGTTAGGGCTTTAGTCCTTTTCATGTGCAAAGAAGACCCTCTCAAGTTGTACAAATATAAATGTGCAACGGAATTGATAAAATGGCTTTTGAATGGTAGGCTCGTGAATATGATGCTTTTCCCGAAATTTACATAGAGAAAGAAGAAAACGCCGGTGCAAAAAATGACCAAGCCACGCGGAAATCTACTTATCATTTTACTTGGGTTAGGACTTTAGTCCTTCTCATGTGCAAAGAAGACCCTCTTACCTTGTACAAAATTGAATTTGCATTGGAATTGGTCAAATGGCTTTTGAACGGTAGTCTCGTAAATTTGATGTTTTTTTTCCGAAATTTATATACAGAAAAAGCAAATCGCTGGAAAATGCCCTAGCCATGCGGAAATCTCATGGACATGTTCCTTGGGTTAGGGCTATAAGCCTTATCATGTGCAAAGAAGACCCTCTCAAGTTGTACAAAATCAAATTTGCAACGGAATTGATCAAATGGCTTTTGAATGGTAGGCTCGTGAATATGATGCTTTTCCCGAAATTTACATAGAGAAAGAAGAAATCGCCGGTGCAAAAAATGACCACGCCACGCGGAAATCTCCTGGACATATTACTTGGGTTAGGCCTTAAGGCCCTTTCAAGTTCAAAAAAGACCCGCTCAAGTTGTACAAAATTGAATTTGCATTGGAATTGGTCAAATGGCTTAAGAACAGTAGGCTCGTAAAATTGATGTATTTTCCGAAATTTATATACAGAAAAAGCAAATCGCTTGAAAATGACCTAGTCATGCGGAAATCACATGGACATGTTCCTTGGGTTAGGGCTATATGCCTCACCATGTGCAAAGAAGACCCTCTCAAGTTGTACTAAATTAAATTTGCAACGGAATTGATCAAATGGCTTTTGAATGGTAGGCTCGTGAATACGATGTTTT